GGGCTGTAACCACTGTGACACAGTCCACACCAGTTCCTGGCCCATCTGTGCCGGTAAGAGCCCAGAAGGCCCCTTTCCCTCCTTCCTGCCTGCCTTGCCTTTGGCCTGTGCTGTTCCAGAGTCACACACCAGATGTCGCTCTTGCACCAGGCATGGTGCCGTTCCTGGTCCCTTTTCCAGACCATAAAAGGGCAGCCTCAGTGCCTGATGACGCAGTGATAAGACATTTATCTAGCCCTGGAGGCCTCTCTGAAGATAGGTTAAACTCTACCAGGGATCTCAAGGGCCCCACCCCTCATGCTGCCCTGTGAATTATCGTTCCCCTCCCCATTTAACACAGGGTCTAGCTAGCCCATTAGTGAAGTCTGTTTTGCTTCTCTGTGCCACTGCCTGGTCTGTCCCCCCTCCCCTCCCCTCTGACAGGGGCTTCTCTCCCTTTTTAGAAAATCTCATCAATGACTGAGACTACCCCAGGGGCTCTGACTACCGAAGTCCCCATCCCGGCCACGATAACAGTGACTATAGCCAACACAGAAACTTCTGACATGCCCTTCTCTGCTGTTGACATCCTGCAGCCCCCAGAGGAACTCCAGGTCACACCAGGGCCTCGCCCACAGCTGCCGCCACGGCAACTCCTGCAGTCTGCCTCCACACCCCTGATGGGGGAGTCCACTGAGGTCCTGTCAGCCTCCCAGACCCCTGAGCTCCCGGACGCCGTGGATCTGAGCAGCACAGGGGACCCATCTTCAGGCCAGGAGCCTGCCAGCTCAGCGGTAGTGGCCACTGTGGTGGTCCAGCCACCTCCACCCACACAGTCTGAAGTAGACCAGTTATCACTTCCCCAAGAGCTGATGGCTGAGACCCAGGCAGGCACCACCACCCTTATGGTAACAGGGCTCACCCCTGAGGAGCTGGCAGTGACTGCTGCTGCCGAAGCAGCTGCCCAGGCCGCAGCCACAGAGGAAGCTCAGGCCCTGGCCATCCAGGCAGTGCTCCAGGCCGCACAACAGGCTGTCATGGGTAGGTGCCAGCTGGGATCCATGAGGGTGACACAGGCCCCTCTGGAGAAGTGGCAGCCCTAGACAGAGGGTTAAGGTGACAGGCAACAGAGCCAGCCTGAGGAGGGCCACTCTCTGCAAGGGTGGCATGAGTCAGACATGAATAGGGAAGATGGGCACAGTGGGCCCCAGGTGGGGTGGGGTGGGATTAGCACCCTGGTAGGAGCCAGGGCCCTTCGGCCAAGATTTAACCTGCAGTGGGGTGTGGCAGGGATAAAAGTGGTCAGGGAAACAAGGTCTGCAGGGATAGCTCTGAGGGCCTCCATCAGGGACATTCATCTCTGTCTGCTGGGACAGGCACACAGGCCTTCCTTTTGAGTAGTGTTTTTCTCAACCCTGGAGCAGGCACTGGGGAGCCCATGGACACTTCCGAGGCAGCAGCGGCTGTGACACAGGCGGAGCTGGGGCACCTGTCAGCCGAGGGTCAGGAGGGCCAAGCTACCACCATCCCCATTGTGCTGACACAGCAAGAGCTGGCCGCCCTGGTGCAGCAGCAGCAGCAGCTGCAGGAGGCACAGGCCCAGCAGCAGCACCACCACCTCCCTACTGAGGCCTTGGCCCCTGCTGACAGCCTCAATGACCCGACCATCGAGAGCAACTGCCTCAACGAGCTGGCTGGTGCTGTCCCCAGCACTGTGGCCCTGCTACCCTCAACAGCCACAGAGAGTAAGCAGGGCCCTGCCCCCAAGGAACTCTGTTGACTAGGGAGAAGTGTCTTGGATGAGGGTGAATCGGTGCTAGAGCAGATGGGAGGTTGGCAGGGGAGAACGGGGGCAAGGGGGTGTTGGTCAGGCCCCTGAGGGAGTTGGGTGTCCGAAGCCTTTCCCGCTAAAACTGCCTTTTTTCCCAGGCCTGGCTCCATCCAACACGTTTGTGGCCCCCCAGCCGGTTGTGGTAGCCAGCCCAGCGAAGCTGCAAGCTGCGGCGACCCTGACCGAAGTGGCCAATGGCATTGAGTCCCTAGGCGTGGTGAGTCAGGCGTGATGGGGCCATGGGATTGGGGGTGGCAATACTGCCTCAGGGCCCTGGGAGCCTCATCCCATCTCCTCTCTGTCTTCCAGAAGCCGGACCTGCCACCTCCACCCAGCAAAGCACCCGTGAAGAAGGAGAACCAATGGTTTGATGTGGGGGTCGTTAAGGGCACCAATGTAATGGTGACACACTATTTCCTGCCACCAGATGATGCTGTCCCGTCAGATGTAAGTGTCCCCAGGAGCTGATACCTGCCCTCGGATGGGTGGATCTTGGCTCTGCTGCCCTGAGTGGGCACTGGCAAAAAAAACTCCATCTTTGGGCCAAGTTTACCAGTAGTAAACTTGAGTAGTGTTTACTACTCAGGTGGGCCTACTCAGGTGGGAAACCTGAGGCCAGCTAGGCAGAGCCCCCGACCCCTGAAGCAGTAGAACAAAAGTGAGAGCTTTTGGTCCTTCCCAACAGCATGCAGCCGCAGTCAGCCTTGTCATGAAGGGGCAGCCATTGCTGACCTCTTTTCCTCTGCCTCACGGTCACCACAGACCTGTGATGTTCCTGGGGGAAACTACTGTGCTGGCCTTAGAACTGACTTCTTGATAACAGGCTTCATGCCACTTTGTTTTCTCTGTTTTCCTGTTCTTTCTGTCCTCTTTCCCCAGGATGACTCAGGCACTGTCCCCGACTATACCCAGCTGAAGAAGCAGGAACTGCAGCCAGGCACAGCCTACAAGTTCCGTGTTGCTGGGATCAACGCCTGTGGCCGGGGGCCCTTCAGTGAGATCTCAGCCTTTAAGACATGTCTGCCTGGTTTCCCAGGGGCTCCTTGTGCCATTAAAATCAGCAAAGTGAGTTTTGCTGTGGGCTGACCTTCTGTTCCCAGTGGGTCTTTGCTCTCTTGGAGCAGAGCAGACCTCAGCTGAGGGGAGGCCTGCAGGAGCAGGGCTAGGTGGGGCTGACTTGGAAAGGTCACCAGGATGTGGCCAAAGTCAGCAGGGCCTACTTTTGGTGAACAGAGGCTGCTGCCTGTTGGTATGTCAGGAACCCTGGCTCTGTTACCAGTTGCCAGGGTAACAAGGGCTTTGGCCTCAGTTTCTTCCTCTGTAAACTGCCAGCTGAGTGTCCACTGTGTGTCACACTTGTGCTGTTCAACATGTTCTTTTATCTAACCCTGGCAACATCTCAAGGAGATGTGGGTCCTGTTTTTAGCTCTATTTTTCAGATGGGGAGTTAAGGTACCAAGAGGCTAAGTGACAAGTCACATATTAGGTGACAGGAGTAGGTATAGGAAGGCTGTGTTTTGAGTCCCAGTTCATTTTATTTCTCCTACTCAGGGGCAGATCTATTTGAAGCTCTTTGAATTTTGATGTAGAATATGTCCATTGTGTCTGGGGAAAATGGCTTGACTGAAGCATGAGCAGGCAGTTCTAGAAGCTTTTAGCCCCCTCTGTTGTTCCGGGTACATGCAGGAAAGACTATGGCCACAAGGAAGAAAGAAAGTAAGGCTTGATCTTCTGCCCCCTTGGTTCTAGAGTCCAGATGGTGCTCACCTCACCTGGGAGCCACCCTCTGTGACCTCCGGCAAGATCATCGAGTACTCAGTGTACCTGGCCATCCAGAGTTCACCGGCTGGTGGTGAGCCCAAGAGTTCCACCCCGGCTCAGCTGGCCTTCATGCGGGTGTACTGTGGGCCCAGCCCCTCCTGCCTCGTACAGTCCTCCAGTCTCTCCAATGCCCACATCGACTACACCACCAAGCCTGCCATCATCTTCCGCATTGCTGCCCGCAACGAGAAGGGCTATGGCCCAGCCACGCAAGTGAGGTGGTTGCAAGGTGAGTGTCATTCGTGGGGCTCCTCGGGCAGCTTCTAGGAAAGGCATGGGAGCCTGGCATGGCAGGAGGCTGGGACTGACTGCAGGAGTCATCTCCATCTGAGCTGTGTTCCTAGAGGCTATCTCTCCTGCCTTGTCCTGAACATCCCACCCTCCCCACTGGGGCAGCTGTTGAGTGGGGCAGGGGGACCCAAATCCAAGTTGGACTTAGGAGTCTGGGGGTGTGACAGCATAGGGCGCTATGGGGTGTCTTGGGAGCCTGGCCTGGGGGTGCAGGGAATGCTTGCCCGAGGTGTCTGAGGCAAAAGATGGAGGGAGGACCCCTGAGGTGGAACCTAGTGGTAGAGGGGCAGGGTGGCGGTTCCAGGGAGGCAGTGAGAGGTGGAGACTGAGCTGAGAGGGTTTCTGAACCTGCGCCCAGGATTCAGGGGCAATCAGTGGGGAGTGGCACCCTGTTCTCGCCCCAGGCAGCAGTGTGCAAGTGGCTGCAGGACCTCGGGAGCAATCCCTGCTGCCGCCCCTACCCCCCCACTCCCACCCCCACCTCCCGCAGAGGCCCACCACGCCTGTGGCTTGCAGGCCACAGGCCACTGCTCCTGCTGTTGCAGGGTGGTGGCGGGTGGGGAGTGTGTATTCCCTGCTCTTGTTCTATCGCTCAGCTTTGTTCCTTGTCCCTTTCAGAAACCAGTAAAGATGGCTCCGGCACCAAGCCAGCCAGCAAGCGGCCCCTGTCCTCTCCAGAAATGTAAGCAGGAGACCCTTTCAGGAACCTTCTAAGGCTGGGGGTGGAAATAGTAGGGCTCAGGCCCCTCATCAAATGACCGGTAGAGTGTAACCCGCCGTTGGTCCTGCAGTGCCATTAGGAACCCACACTGACTTTCTCCCTCCCTTTTTTGTCATCCAAGGAAATCTGCTCCAAAGAAATCTAAGGCAGATGGTCAGTGAGAGGACGCTGGCCAGCACCTGGATTCTTCTCCAGACCCCTGCCTCACCCTGCTTCCGGAACCACCCACTAGGGCCTGCCTCTCCCACCCCTCCTAGCATTTGCACTTCGCTGTCAGGAGCCACTGGCCGCCATTCACTCTCTTCCTCCTTTCTCTCTCTCCCTGTTTCAAAATGACCTAAAGAAAGCACATTTTACCTTGCTGTTGGGAGGAAGCAGAGGCAGGCTGGAAGAAGCAGTGAGCCAGCGAGAGAATAGGGCTCCTCCTGTCTTCTCCCTGGCAGAGCAAGACTGGAGAGTTCGGAGACCTTTGAGGGAGAGAAATTGGAACTTACAGAAGACAAGAAAGTACCCACACTTCCAAACCTGCACGTTTTAGGGTTCATTGCCCTTGGCCTCTGAGGGCAACTGAGGGCTAGGTGGGGGTTGACGATGGGAGGCGCCCCGGCCCCTCCTTGGAGAGGCTTTCCCCGGCGCCCTGTCCTGGGCATATGACTGGTTCTATTTTACTTTGTTGCCCTTGTGTTTCAGCCACCTAACATCCCTTCCTCAGGCTTATCCAGCCCACCCTGCCCAGTAGCCCCACAGGAAGCTCACACATTTTCTCAGAGGCCTTCGTGCTCCTACTTCTTCCCTTCCCCCTTTCCTGCTTAAAAAAAGAAAAGAAAGAAAAAGGAGGAGCCTCATGGGGCCTGAACAGCCTTCTGTGAAAATGTCTCTACGGGGCTGGGAGTAGCCCCCACCAAGCCTGGCTTCTGCCCTGCCTGGCCTGAAGCTGGGGCCACATCACCAACTGCTGCATTTGTTGTATTTTTTTAAGTTGAAATTGATGAAGTTAACATTTTTATTGTAATTTTAGCCTTAGCGTGTGGGGTTTTGTCCCTTTTTTGTTAGCTGTGTACAGAATGTGTATCTTTTCTTTCTTTTTTTTTCTTTTTTGTTTTACTTTTTTCTCCGTGGCTAAAGTCCTTGGCAGGGATCTTTGTGGAGGAAAAGCTGGGGGCAGGAGAAGAAACTCCCATGTGGGGCCTGGTATTCGTTGCCCAGCCTGATTTCCTGTTGCTGCCCCTGCCCCCTGCCCTTTGCCTGTCCCCAGGCCTCTGGGACAAAAGAAGAGTGAGCTGGCAAACCTCACTCTGCATGGGTGATTGCTCTGCATCTATAGGGGGAGCTTGGGGGTGGGCTAGAGCCTCTTTGTGTCCTGGATTCACAGTTCTCCCCAGTTCCTGGACAGAATTGAGGCTGATAAGCCCAAGGCCATTAGCAGCAGCTTGGAGATTCTCCCCTCCCCAGTTGTAGCAGAAAGGGGTGTAGAGTGGAGGGAGAATAGGACTCCTGGAGGCAGGCCAGGAAGGGCATGTGTGGTGTTATTTGTAGGGGAAGCTGGGACACCAGCCATCAGCTTTATGAACCTGCAGCATTGTCCCAGACTGGGCCAGACTCAGGGTGTGGTTCTGCTTGGAGTTTTCTGCCCCACACCCAAGTTTTAGGCAAGGTACAGGGCTTGTAGGCAGTTCGTGGAAGGATTTGAAACGAGCAGCCAATCTTTTCAGGCCCACATTTCTGCCTGGAGATGCAGTGGTAGGGGGGGTGGCCCCCACCTCTGGCCCATACCCTCCAGGGCCTCTGGTTTGTTGTATTATAGTATATTTCATGGAAAATGTCATGTTTAGTCACCTTGGAGCCCACCCACCTGGTCCTGTTGTTTTACCCCAGTTCCTTCTCCCAAGCACCCTTTGATTTCTCTTGTTTCTGAGAACAGTGCGCCTGTTCACTATTGTAGAGTAACCCCTGTGACTCAATATTACCATAGTGCGATGTCGTTTTGTGCTATTTTGAACAATTAAAAGACTTTTTTTGAAATAACCACCTGGTGTCATACTGTGTCCCAGACTCCTGGGCCTCTTGCCACCAGGGTCTGTGGGTGAGTGGGATCCTGCTTCCCAATTGATTGTGTGCCCCAAGCTCCGAAGCCTCCAGGGCAGCTCCCCCCACCCCCGCCCTCCAGCGGCCTGTGGCCTTTGTACGGGGTCACATCAGGCTGTTGCAGGTTCTTCAGTGGCAGCTGCTGCTGGCTCCCTGTGTTTGGAGGCTGGGTCACCTTCCTTCCCCTCACTAGAGGACAGGGATGGGACAAAGGTCTGGCAGGTCACCAGGGCCTGGCCTCCTTGGGCAGTTTGGGGGGAGGGAGCTGGGTTGCAGCTCCCAAGTGCTGTCCACCGCAAGCTCAGGACAGCCCCTCAGCATCCACTCTGGCAGGACTGGTCCCTTGTCAGGCACACAGTGGGCACTTGGCTGCAGAAGGAATGAATCCTCTTACGCACAAGCCAGGCCCCTGTTGAAGCAAGCCGACAGTCTAGTGACAGTTGGGTGGCACAGCTAGGATTAGATGGCTGAATTCTTCCTTGGTGTTGACCAGCCAGGGGCCCAGAAAGCCAGGGCATGGCAGCCCAAGTGGCACAGGTTTGGGGTGCAGTGAAGGGGTGCAACACTGCTCTGCTGGGGCTTCCCCAGCACCCCTCTGCTTTCTCCCTGAAGCCTCTGCTGTCCACCCTTCCTCTCACCCATTCTACCAGAAGCTGCTGGGGTACCCAGAGCCTGCATCTGCCCACAGTGGTGTGGGTGTGTGCACAGAGTGCGGGGTGCATGCTGGTGGGCCAAACCAAGGCTCAGTCCAACTCAGCTTCCCCAAAGTGAGCTCTTTGCCTGGTGCCCAGTCTACTGGGCTTTCTGGTGTGTTGTGTCATGTGATCTTCTATGTCCCCCCCCCCCCACACACACACACATATACACGTTGGTTCATCTCTGCAGAAAAGCTGCTGGAGATTGTTTCTCCACCAAATGCTTTCTCTTGACACCCCCCCCCCCCCACACACACACATAGCCTGTTGGTTTTGACACTGGGAGCCATGGCTCTGTCTTACCCACTACACCCGGTCCTGGGAAGCTCAGGAGAGTGGCCTCACAGACGGGCCCAGGGCAGGGAAGCATTCTCAGAAGCAGAGCAGTAAGAGCAACGCTGGGGGTAGGGGGTGGAAACATGGACCAGCTAGGGTGAAGAGTCCATGTGGGGTTGGCCCCAGAAGGGGAGGGCCTTGTAGATTTGCCAGACGTTTGAGAAATGGTTTTGTGGACACAGCCTGAAGCGGAGTACAAGGGTTCTTCCTGTAGCCAGCACCTATGAGGCCACCCACACTCCACCTTCTCTATGCTCACCTGCCTTGTGGTGGCCCGCATGGCATTCTGGAGGGCAGGCGCCACATCAGTAGTCTTTGGTGCTGATCTCAAAACACTGGGCTAGGCCGGCGTGGTGGCTCACGCCTGTAATCCTAGCACTCTGGGAGGCCGAGGCGGGAGGATTGCTCAAGGTCAGGAGTTTGAAACCAGCCTGAGCAAGAGCGAAACCCTGTCTCTACTATAAATAGAAAGAAATTAATTGGCCAACTAATATATATAGAAAAAATTAGCCAGGCATGGTGGCGCATGCCTGTAGTCCCAGCTACTCGGGAGGCTGAGGCAGAAGGATTGCTTGAGCCCAGGAGTTTGAGGTTGCTGTGAGCTAGGCTGATGCCACAGCACTCACTCTAGCCTGGGCAACAAAGTGAGACTCTGTCTCAAAAAAAAACAAAAAAAAAAACCCTGGGCTGGAGTCTGAGCACACCACTCCTCGGCCTCCTGGGGAGAGCCCTGGGCAGGGAGAGGCAGCATGGCACCTGTTCTCACCTGCTGCCAGGGAAAGCTCTTCCAGTTCTCCATGTTTGGATTGGCTAAGACACTGACCCCTGGACCCAGGGCTATGGGGACCACCCATAGGAACCTAGAACCCTCCACACACTGAGGCTTGGCCTTGGCAAGGCACAAGGGGGGTGGTATGTGCAAGGGAGGCAGGGGAGAGGCTGGACATGAACTGATACACCATACACAATGACAGACGCCTGTGAGCAGAGTAGGTGGACACAAGCCTAGCAGGGCACAAAGCCAGGATTCCCAAAGCATGAACTAAAGTTGAGGGTGCACATGAACCTAGAGCAGCTGGAGTGAACACCCACCTGCTGGCCAGAGAGGTAAGTCTTGTTCCCTAGCATCACAAAGGGGAACTGTTTGGGAGGCGCCCCCCGCCCACCAGGCAGCCATAGCCTGGAAGGAGGTAGCCACTGTGAGGTCAAACAGCAACACACGGCTCCCCCAGTCCAGTGCCACACCCAGGGATTGGAACATCTCGGTGCTGGCTGTGTCCCAGAGCTGCACGTAAGAGGCAGAAAGACCAAGTTACACTCCTGGGCTGCAATCCACCTTTCTGGAAGAAGGGACGACACAGAAATCCAAGATTCTCCAAGCCACACTGGGAGCCCAGGGACCTCAGGCATTCTGGTGTAATTCTATGGAGCAGTAAAGTGCCCAGTTGTTAGGGAAAGTGAGGAACCGCTCAGCCAGCCTGCCTGGTAGCATCTGGTGGGTCAGGCAATCTTAGAGCCACACAAACCAAGCCTGGGCGGCTGGAAAACAGGCCCAAAGGAGGGGGCTCCAGCTCTTACCTGCACAGTTAACATCTGGCCTTTGAACTGCATCACTTAGATAAAGAAGTCAGCACCGATGGTTGCCCTTTTCTGACTGCTGAAGTAGTTGGTGACAAACCGATTCAACAGAGGACTTGACCACCCCGTGTGGTCACAGGTCAGAGGGGCCTCTGAATTCAGGTATTTCCAGCTGTTCCCTGTCCTGGTGCACTCCTGCCCTGCCCCTTGTCCCCCACCAGGGCCCCTCTCCAGCTCAGTTAAAGGTGACTGGTTGGGGGTTGGGGGGGGGCAGCCCCGCGCTCCACCCTCCTCCCAGAATGTCCTGCTTGCCCACATTTCTCACCAGGCAGATCATGAGCTGAGGGGCGTCAGGCAGGCAGAGGCCATAGCGAGACTAGTCAGTCTGAGGGTCGCTGAGGGGCCAAGAGCGGGGGCGGACCCACTAAGCCCCGCCCCCTCGGGCCCCGCCCCCAGGCCCTGCGAAATCCGGAAGAGGAGGGTGGGGTGGGGCGCAGCTAGGTCAGCTGAGTGACAGTCACGGGACCGCGACCAGCTCAGTCTGGCTTCCTGAAGGAGAGGGAGGAATGAGCGGGGCGTCTCCAAGTGCGACAGGCTAGTGGTGGGGCCGGTGCGAGGAGTGCTGTTTTGGAGGGTCCCCGGGGATGGTGAGGTCAGAAGCCCCCGCAGAGGTGCGGGGATCCCCAAGGGTTGGGGCCTGGGGCTGGGGTGCCTCTGGGGGGACAGGTCAAGCAGCCCTGGGACCCGCCTGGCCCCGCTTAGGAAACTGCACCTCCAATCCCAGGTTCCCCTAGGACATGGAGAAGGAGCGGGAGACTCTGCAGGCCTGGAAACAGCGTGTGGCGCAGGAGCTGGACCGCGTGCTGGCTTTCTGGAGGGAGCACTCCCACGACCAGGAGCACGGGTGCGCCGGCCCTTGCGGGCTCTTTGCCGCTTCCCAGGCTCCACCTCACTCACTGGCAACTCACTGATCCAGCAGGCAAGGGGCTGTGGCGGTGCAGGGCCCTTCCCCCTGCTAACCCTGCGTGTCCCACAGGGGCTTCTTCACGTGTCTCGGCCGCGATGGGCGAGTGTATGACGACCTCAAATATGTCTGGCTGCAAGGGAGGCAGGTAGGGGAGCACCTGGTGCAGCTGAACCTCTCCCAGGGGTGGAAGTCCTGCCTCAGTCCACACACACACAGGCCCATCATCCCAACATTCTTCGTCCCAACAATAGGGACATCTAGGACTCGCCCTCCCCAGCCGTACCCTCTGAAGCCATGTTCCCCCACAGGTATGGATGTATTGTCACCTGTACCGCAAATTCGAGCGCTTCCACCACTCTGAGCTTCTGGACGCAGCAAAAGCAGGTACTCCTTCCTGCCCCCCATCTCCCCACTTTACTCAGTGGGGCTTGTGTGCTAGTTGGGGGGGGCATCTAGGAGCAGCAAAGGGCCTGGGGAGGCGCCAAGGTGGTGTGTGTGCAAAGGGAGCCCTCACTTTAGTCTTACATGCCAACTTTCCAACCGCCAGGTGGCGAATTTTTGCTGCGTTATGCCCGGGTGGCACCTCCTGGCAAGAAGTGTGCCTTTGTGCTAACTCGGGATGGCCGCCCAGTCAAGGTGCAGCGGACCATCTTCAGCGAGTGCTTCTACACCATGGCCATGAACGAGCTGTGGAGGGTGACAGGGGAAGTGCGTTACCAGGTGCATGAGGGGAGGTTTGCCTAGGTGACTACTGGGTCTAAGGCTGAGCCCTGAAGATCCCACCCTGATACTCTGCCATGGTCGCCTGATGTAGTTTCACTCAGTGTGCAAGTCCCCTCCCCTGGCCCCCACGGGGGCTTCGAGCAATACCCCCCTTTATTGTGGTGTACTGTCATCATGTGTCTATGGTTTCTGCCCTCCCCCCCATGTCTCCTTCACCTGGGAACACCCCCCCCCCCATACCCCCATAGGGGTCCTGGGCAGAGAGGGCTCTATCCACAGCCCGCTCCAACTGGGAAGAGGCCAGTCTTTCCTCCCTAGGGCTCCCTGTGCTGCCAGACCCTGACCCCACAGCCTGGGAATGGTCTGCACCCCTAGACTGGGATCCCCTGAGGTAGGATGGTGTGGGTCTACCTGGCCCCCAGCACCTGACTCCAGGGCCAGGCCTATGCCCACAGTATGCCCTGTCAAGGTGTCCTTGGAGCTTGTGAGAAGAATTGGCTCTCCTACCCCAAGGCCCTGTCCTCTGGACCCTGCAGGTACCTGGGAGATGACACAGATGGGACAGGATACAGCCTCAGCCTGGGCCTCCCCTCTCCTGCCCCCACCCCCTAGAGCGAAGCGGTAGAGATGATGGATCAGATCGTCCGCTGGGTGCGGGAGGACCCGTCGGAGCTGGGCCGGCCCCAGCTGGCAGGGGCCCCGGCCGTGGAGCCCATGGCAGTGCCCATGATGCTGCTCAACCTGGTGGAGCAGCTCGGGGAGGCGGATGCGGAGCTGGCGAGCAGATACTCGGAGCTGGGGGACTGGTGCGCCCTGCGGATCTTGCAGCACGTGCAGGTGGGGGTGCCCCCCCACTGCCCCTCCCCATGCTCCCCAGGCATCTCCTCTGCCCACACCCGCCCTCGAGCTTTACAGACCTGGAGATGCTGGGAGGCTCAGCCAGGGCGAGCCACGGCCCAGGACCCTTGGAAGGTGGGGGGCCCCAGGGAGCCCATGGCAGAGAGAGCCCATGGGGCTGATGGCTGGGCCAACGGTGCCAGAGCCCTGGGAAAGCCCTGAGAGCAGAGACCCGGTCAGACCCAGGCCCCTCCCAGGCCTCTGTGGGCAGCCAAGCATGCCCTGTCTGTCCCCAATGTTTCATCATCCCCCCTGGAGAAGCCCAGGCCCAATGCAAGGATTAGAACCTCCTAGACCCATGGCAGTGAACTGCTCATCCTCAAATGCCCCTCTGAGCCAAGCTAGCCCAAGTCAGGGGGTCCAGAGGCTTGGGTGAGAGGGAGGCAGAAGGGGATTTCTGAGGCTGGGTCTTTCTAGTTAGGTGGTTGGGTGGGTGGGCTTAAGGCAGAATTGCCTTCTGCTCCTTGCCTGGCAGAGGGATGGCCAAGCTGTGCTGGAGAATGTGTCAGAGGATGGCAAGGAACTTTCTGGTTGCCTAGGGAGACACCAGAACCCAGGTGAGGGGCAGGGTGGGCTGGGGGCTGCCCAGGAGGAGGGGAGCACTGGGCCTTGGGTTCTGGGATTCAGATGTGGGGAGTGCCTGGGGTGTCGGGGGTGTGTGTGCATGAGCTGGGGAGCTTTTGGGCTTCCCAGGTGGAGAGGGTCACTGCTCGGGAGGGAGGCAGGGAGGTGCCAAGGCTTGAGTTCCCCCATGCCCTCACTCCCTCTACTAACCCCCGCACCTGGGGGAGGATCTGATTCCTGCCTTACCCAAACCCCTGGCCAGGTCATGCACTAGAAGCTGGCTGGTTCCTGCTCCGTCACTCCATCCGGAAAGGTGACCCCAAACTTCGAGCTCACATTATTGACAAGTTCCTTTTGTTGCCCTTCCGCTCTGGATGGGACCCTGAGCACGGAGGCCTCTTCTACTTCCAGGATGCTGATGACCTCTGCCCCACCCAGGTGGGACATGACCAGGGTCATGTGTTACTAGCCCTGTTCTAGGGCTTTCTGTCCTGGGAGATGGGTGCTGTCATCATCCTTGTCTTATAGAGGGGACCCAGGGCTACATTTGAACTTAGAGGCCAGATCTTGACTTCTGTGCCACTGGATCCCAACTCATGTCACATGGAGGCCATTAGGGAATGTGTGCAAATGCTGATGCTCTAACATTTGTCCCCTTTGTCTGCAGCCCTGGTGTCTTTGAAAGTTTCTCCAGGTGATTCTAGTTCATTGGCAGCCAGGAGTGGAATTGTTCCCTTATGCTATGTTGCTTCTGATTGTGCCTTGATCCTGCCAGAGATCTGCAGATGGTGGCTATCCCGCCCATGGGCAGGAGTTTTAAGGGGCTTAATGACAGATTAAAAAGACAGACAAGCTAAAAGGGAGCCCACCCCACCTTTGTCCTTTTAGAAGTGGCTACTTGGGGTGCATCCAGGTCAGGAAGCTCATGTCGTTCTGAGGTACCCTTTAGCCCCCCCCAGAGATATCCCATGATTAAACTCCAAGCACTTGGGCTAGATGGAGACTGAGCCAGGTCTGGAAAGATGGGGGTGAGTGTCCTGCTAAGAGGACTGTAGGGGCAGGAGGGGGAACCCAGGATTCTCAGATGCCTGCCTCTGCTCTGCTGTCAGCTGGAGTGGGCCATGAAGCTCTGGTGGCCTCACAGCGAAGCCATGATCGCCTTCCTCATGGGCTACAGTGACAGTGGGGACCCTGTGTTGTTGCATCTGTTCTACCAGGTGGCTGAGTACACCTTCCACCAGGTGAGTGCTGCCTCCTTGTCCCTTCTAGAGGCTGAGGCACTGGGCAGCATGAAGGGGGAAGTTTCTTCCCTTAGCCCCCCACCCCCTCACTGGGCACAGTCCCTCAGCTGGTTGGAGGGGTTCTGGAGCTTCAACGCCCTTTCCTCAGTCAGTAGAGAAGCCCCTGCCCTTCTAAGAGCCCTCATTTTGGTGGCGGGAGAGTATAAACAAGTAAACAAGCAAATGTGGTGGCAGCAAGAGCTCTGGAAGATAGAAAGCAGGGGTGGGACTGGGCCTTCTTTCCTTTGAGGCACTGAGCAAGGGCCTGAGTCAATCCACAGAGCAGGGCAGGGGTGTGTGTGTGTGTGTGGGGGGCTGACCTGCTGGAGCCCAGCAAGCAGGCCTCCCAGCCTTGGGACAAGGAGGGCAGGTGGAAGGGAATAAGGGGAAAGGGGTAGGGGTTGCCTGGGTCCTAGGGAGGTGGTAGGAAATAGGGCAGAAGCTGGAAGATTGGAGGAGGCTGTCATTGTCACCAGCCAGTGAGGTCTGGCTAGGGGTGGGAGATGGGAGGCAGAGGGGTTCGAGTCTAGTTGGACAACAGTGGGATTTCTGAGTTCAGAGGGAAAGGTTTGGGCTGGGCACAAATGTTTAACTGTCATATGAATATAGCTCGGGAGACTAAGGTGGGAGGATCTCAAATACAAGCCTAGCCTGGGCAAAAGCAAGACCCTATCTCAAAAAAAAAAAAAAAAAAAGATGACATCAAGAGATGTGCAGCAAAGTACACTGTTGCGTTACAGAAGGAGAAGAGGAAATAGGAGGCCCAGCAGAGGCAGCAAGCAGCAGTTGTGAGGTAGGAAGGAAACAGAGCCAGGGGCCCAGAGGCCCAAGTGTTAGGAAAGGAGTGATAAGCTGTACTGACTGTTGCCAGGGCAGGGCACCCAGTGGTGACAAGGCCTGGATGGTGAATGAAGGAAGACCTGGGATGTGTTTCTGAAGCCACAACTCTGACTCACTCCGTTGGTAAGCACAGGCACCGGAAGGACTGTATAGCAGGGCAGCTTATTCTAAGGTCTGTGGGCTGCAAAACCTGGTGGAAAATGACACCTTTATTTGCATTAACCTCTAATGGAAATCTAGCATTTGCTTCCATTATGAATGGATGTGTTTATATGACATGCTCATCACTACTTCCAAACCACAGGAGTCATCAGGCCTGAAGCTGTATCTTAATATTGAAAGCATTCATGAAGAACCACCAGTTTTAACTCTATAAAATGATACTGAGGGAATATATTGTAGCAAGGTACAAATGACATTAAACAATTACAAAAGTTATAATCAACAAGTAAATCATGCACTAACCAAAATAACAGAATAGAGAAAGTAAAACTCCAGACATCCAAGGAAAAACTGGAAAGTCAATTAATGTGGGAAATTAAAAAATTCTTCATTATCTTCCTGTGTCAGATCAGGCAGTCAAAAAGTAAGGACTTAAACAATATAACTCAAAAGATGTAATGAACTCACTACAAAGAAGAATACAAACTCTCATAGGCCATAATTTAGAGACAGATAATGGACTTCAATGTAATTGACTTCTATGGTCTTTCTGAGAAGGGGTTCAACTGACAAGCCTCCCCGGGACAAGTGCCTGATGGGATGCGAGCAGGACAGAGGGAAGGAGTGTGGAATGGGTCAACTGAGCTGCTGTTCCCTCTATAAGAAGCAGTTGGGCACTGGGGAGGGGCAGAGGGAGGAGAAGATGTGTTCAGGTTCCATGGTGAGTGAAGATAGCAGTCAGGTCTTGGTTCCAGATGTGCACAATCTTATCTACTGGAAGACAGGCCTGTCAAGCAGGGAACAGGAGCTCCAGGGGAGTCACTTGTTAGAAAGTTGAATGGCAGCTCATCTTGTCCATTAGGGTTCTTTGTTCCTTTAAATCAATTACTTTTTTTCTTCTTTTTAAACATTTTTATTTATTTATTTACATATTTTTTTTGACAATTTCTTTCTATTTTTAGTAGAGACAGGTCTCGCTCTTGCTCAGGCTGGTTTTGAACTCCTGACCTTGAGTGATCCACCCGTGTTGGCCTCCCAGAGTTCTAAGATTACAGGCGTGAGCCACCGCGCCTGGCCCATCTGGTACTGTTTCATGTTACAGCCCGCAGCCCCTTCCCTAGTCGGTTATACCAGCTGCAGACTGTCTGGTGCCTCTCACCCTCCACTTCATCTTGTTCAGGGCATAGTGTCACGGTTAAGAGCACTGGTTTTGGAGCAGTGTTACCTATGGTCAGTCCAGGCTCTCACTCCCGGTAGCGGTGAAGTGGGGATAAAAGCACACCTTCCCCAGGCCCTGGCATCTGAGCGGGTCCTGCAGGCGCTAGCTGTCACTGTCACGTTGTTATTACAGTTTCGTGATCCTGAGTATGGGGAATGGTTTGGCTACCTGAATCGAGAGGGAAAGGTTGCCCTCACCATCAAGGGGGGTCCTTTCAAAGGTGAGTGGGGTACGGGGCAGGGCCGCAGGGGCTCGTGGCACTCGGCTGCTCCCGTCCTCCCAACCGCCCTCCCGCCTCTCCCTGCAGGCTGCTTCCACGTGCCGCGGTGCCTAGCCATGTGCGAGGAAATGCTAGGCGCCCTGCTGAACCGCCCCGCCCCGGCGCCCGGCTCCGGCGCCCGCTCCCCGCCCACCGTCCCCGCCCGCTGAGGCGCAGAATAAAGCTAGGTCTGCTCCACCTGCCTGTGTACGCGCGTCTGTGGGCTCGCGAGAGGGGCAGCCACCGCACCTCGCCGGGCGACCAGGCAGGCCCCAGCTCTTAGGGCCAGTGTCCGCCCCGGCAGGCCCGCCCCGAGTGCCGGACCTCCCAGCACATTGGCCGAACGGCCAGGAGGGCGGGCCTACGGCCGCGCACTTCCGGCCGGTGTCCGGCCCGGCACGCACCTCCCCTTCCGCCGCCGCCCCAGCGAGCCCGGCCCCGGCTCCAGCCCCAGCCGCAACCGCAGCCGCTCGGCATAGCTTCGGAGCGCGGGGACAGCTAATTGCGCGTTCACGACGCTCTGAGACCCGCGACCCGCCGCCGTTATGAACATCCGCAATGCGAGGGTGAGGGTTCCGGGTGGGAGGCTGTCCGCGCCGCGTGGGCGCCGGGCCGGGTGGCAGCGTGCGCATGCTCCCGAGGGCCCCGGCCGAGCCTGGCCCGGTGGCACTGTGTGCCTGCCGCCGCTGTACCCATGGGGCTGGACCAACTCGAAGAGGAGGCCGGCGGAGCTGGGGCGCAGGGTCGAGGCTGCGAATGCCTCCTGTTTGCGCGATGTCGGGGCCTGGTCTGGCGGTCTCCGGGAGCTCCCGGCGCCCACCCTTATTCCTGGAACAGACAACCTTTGCACAGCGGCTGTGTACCAGGCCTGGGCAAACTCAGATATTCACAGCGCCTGCCCAGCCCCCGGAGAGGGGGCTGAGTAGACAGGGAGCAGGGCTCTCACCCTACTGAGGCCTACTTAGTCACCAGCCCTGGACTGACTGCATTCCACTGCCCTACTCCCCTGCAGCCAGAGGACCTGATGAACATGCAGCACTGCAACCTTCTCTGCTTGCCCGAGAACTACCAGATGAAATACTACTTCTACCATGGCCTCTCCTGGCCCCAGGTAGGCAGCTTTTGAATTTGAGGGTGAGGGAAATCAGGCCAGGAAAATCCAAGTTGTGTTGTCTAGGGAGTAGTGCATGAGGCCACAAGAGCCCAGGAGGCTGTATGGTCGCATGACCACGGTCTTTTCTAGCTGACATGGGGGCAGGGGCAAGTGAAAAGGAGGTGTCTGGAGGGAGTGTAGAAGAGGGACAGGATTCCCACCTTGTGTCTGTCTTCTTCCAGGTCAAGAATCGGGCACAATGTAGTATGGGGGAAACTCAGTATGGGGAAACTCAGTCACTTAGCCTGGAGGTCATGAGCCATCACAGAACTCACCACTTGACCAGCTTCTGTCTCTCTTGCACACAGCAAGAGGCAGGCGTTAGGACCAGGTGTCCTCCAAGGGCTTCTCCAGCTCTGCCATGAAGTTGTTTTCTGACTCCCTTTTCCTCTCCACCACCAGCTCTCGTACATTGCTGAGGATGAGAATGGGAAGATTGTGGGGTACGTCCTGGCCAAAATGTGAGTCACTAAGGAGAAGGGAAGCCCAGTGCTTGGGGGCTGGGGCAACACCACACATCCTTGGTGGATGCTGCTGTGGCCTCATAGTCTTTTTTTTTTTTTTTTCTCGTAGTCTTTTTATTAGTACAGTTTAAAGTTTATAGAAGAATTGAGCAGAAAGGACAGAAGTTCCTGTGTAGCCACTCACGGTCTCCTCCCCCCAGTTTCCTCTATTAATGAGTTGCCTTTGTAGCTACATTTGTTACAAGTGATAAACCAATATAATATATTATTAGTAACTAAACCTACAGTTTACATTACCATCATTCTCACTGTGTGGTGTGCTCTATGGGTTTGGACAAATTACATGTGTTTACCTTTATATTATCTACCCATTCATCCCTCCCTCCCCCCAACCTCTGGCAGCTACTATTCCTTTATTGTCTCCATACTTTTACCTTTTTCAGAATGTTACATAGCTGGAATTATAGAGTATGTGTAACCTTTTCAGATAGGCTTTTTAAACTCAGTATAATTTAATATTCACTTAAGGTTGTGTATTGATAACTCATATCTCTCTCTCTCTCTCTCTCTCTCCCCCTCCCTCCCTCCCTCCCCCCCCTCTCTCTCTCCTTTTTTCTTTTTTGGAGATATGGTCTTACTCTATTGCCCAGGCTAGAGTTCAGTGGTGTGATCACAGCTCACTGTAGCCCCAAACTCCTGGGCTCAAGCGATCCTCCTGCCTCAGCCTCCTGAGTAGCTGGGACTACAGTTGTGCCCTGCCATGCCAGGCTAATTTTTTGTTTTTGTAGGGGTGGGGTCTCACTGTGTTGCTCAGGCTGGTCTTGAACTCTCAGCCTCAAGTGACCCTCCCACCTCGTCCTCCCAAAGTACTGGGATTACAGGCGTGAACCATAGTGCCCAGCCGACAGCTCATTTCTTTTTGTCACAGAACAATATGCTGTCAACACTGCATATATCTGGTAGATGCTACATGTGGATTTTTTTTTTTCAGGGACAGAATCTCACTGTGTTGCCTAGGTTGAAATACAGGCTCTTCACGGGCCCGATCATGGCACATTACAGCCTTGAATTAATGGGCTCAAGTGATCCTCCTGCCTCAGCCTCCTGAGTAGCTGGGACTACTGGCATGTGCCACTGTGCCTGGCATGCATGGGGTTCTGAGGGAGCAGAAGGTGGCAGGATCAGCTGCTCTGATCTGAGAGGTCCACAGCTCTCCCCCAACCACAGTCTTGGGGGGCTATAGGGCCAGCCTAGAGGAGTTTGTGCGCTTGCTCTACACATGTGCTGGGGGAGGGGTGTGGCTGCATCTGCACTAGGTTCCTTTCTAGCCTCTCTCCTTTCTTCTCTAGGGAAGAGGACCCAGATGATGTGCCCCATGGACATATCACCTCACTGGTACATAGGGCCCACCCAGACTCTGGCGGGGGTGGAAGTGAGGGTTAGTAGGGGCAGCCTTCAGGGTCCTACCCTCTACCCACTCTTCCCCTGCTAGGCTGTGAAGCGTTCCCACCGGCGCCTCGGCCTGGCTCAGAAGCTGATGGACCAGGCGTCTCGAGCCATGATAGAGAACTTCAATGCTAAATACGTCTCCTTGCATGTCAGGAAGAGGTGGAAGTCAGCCTAAGGGGCGGGAGAATTGGTGAAGGGGATGGGGAGGAAGAGATACTGTCTTGGCAGGGGTCCTGGGGTACCTGGGCTTTTGGAGAGGATCTGGGAAGTGGGATTAGTGGGAAGGAGGTACCAGGAGGAGGGGCAGGACCTGGACATGCTGTCCCTGCCTGGCCAAGTCTGTGCAGCTCAGCAGTGCCTTATTCCCCTGCAGTAACCGGGCCGCCCTGCACCTCTATTCCAACACCCTCAACTTTCAGTAAGTAGATCTACATTTTCCTAATGGGCTGGGGCTGGTCCCATGTCTAGCCCATCAAAGCTGCTGAGAAGGGCTGAGCAGCCTTCCAGGCAGAGGGATGGGAGTGGTGGAGAGGGGGAGGAGGCCAATGTTGATTGAAAAGCTGGCATGGAAACAGCACCTGCCTGCTAAAATACGCTCAATGCATGTTGCGATGGGTAGGAGGTTTGGTGTGTCTGCTTGGGGAGGTGTGATGGCTGGGTGCTGGCAGAGGCTGGTGAAGTGCAGTGTGGTGCGGAGTGCTTTTCATTGAAAGTCTGGGAGAGAGAGATGTGGGCCTAGGCCATGAGCAGATGCTGAGGAGCAGGACTCCAAGGGACCAGGCACCTAGAAGCCTCAAGCAAGAGTAGAAGACAGGAGAAAGCACATCTAGGAGGAAGGGCCATCAGGGCGAAGACACGATGCCTTGCTCCATTAGCATAGGATACTAGGAGGCTGAGGAGAATCTGGCACCAGGTTTGAGTCTTCCTTGTTCTCCACCCTCCACCCCCAGGATCAGTGAAGTGGAGCCCAAATACTATGCAGATGGGGAAGATGCATATGCCATGAAGCGGGATCTCACCCAGATGGCTGATGAGGTAAGAGTCAGCTGGGCCATGGTAGCAGTCCCCACCACGAAGAAAAGCAAGGCAGGTAGGGGAGGCCCTGCTGGGGGGCAGATGGTGGCACCTGAGAGCGCTGAGACATGAGGAGGCCCACGGTAGCTGGAGGTGAGACTGACTTTGGGTGCCAGCCCTTGTGGCTACATTGCTGGGAGTCGTGGCCCTTCTTCACTTCAGTTTCCTAAGCTGTCACGTGGGGAGGTGGGTCTGGGCTGTGCTTCAGAGGAGGCCATCCACCCAAGATTTTGTTGTCTGAAGCAGTAGCCTGTAGACATGATATGAGAAGCAGGGAGGAGGCTTTCTAGGGAAATGGGACAGCCATGGCCTGCCTGCTCAGGTAGACAAAACTGGGCTGCAGAGCATGCGAGGGTCCTGCCCAAGGCTCCTTGGGGGGCAGGGCTGTTCAAGGGGCATAGCTCTGTCTTCAGGGCTTCACAGCAACCCACATAAGGAAGCTCTGATCGTCCTCATTTTAAAGGTGTAGAAACAGGCCCAGAGAGAGCAGAAGTAGGACTCAGGCCCAGTTTCTCCACTCAGTCCTGGGTTTCCTGCCCTGGCCCTGCTGCCTCTCAATATGCTCCTCCCCCCAGCAAGTGACAGGGCCAGGCTCCCCTTGCCGCCACCTCCTACCCCATGTCTGGAGACTTAGGCCGTCTCTTTGCTCCTGCTTCTCTTTGGGCTCCTGGCGGCAGCTGAGGCGGCACCTGGAGCTGAAGGAAAAGGGCAGGCACGTGGTGCTGGGTGCCATCGAGAACAAGGTGGACAGCAAAGGCAATGCACTTCCGAGCTCTGGAGAGGCCTGTCGTGAGAAGGGCCTGGCTGCTGAAGATAGTGGTGGGGACAGCAAGGACCTCAGCGAGGTCAGCGAGACCACAGAGAGCACAGACATCAAGGACAGCTCGGAGGCCTCTGACTCGGCCTCCTAGAGCCTACTGCATCCCACCCTCACCTCACGAGCTTTCACAATAAATTTCACCCCGTGGCCCTGGGGAGTTTGTGTGTGTGTGCACATTCGAGGCAGGGATGCTTCTCTCCAGAGCATCCTGCTGAGCCCAAGTAGAAGGGAAGAGCTTTGTCAGCCCTTTGGAGGTGGGACTGCCAAGTCTGATGGTTTTCAGCAGCGTTGGGCCTGGTGAAGGAGACCCTGGGCTTCTGGGAAGACCTCTGCCTCTGGAACCCTGCTCTGCCACTGTTTAGGCTTTCATATCCTTCTTAACATCCCAGGGCTGAGCTAGATGATCCCTCAGGGCCCTTCTAACTCTTCCACGCTGAATGTGTTTTGAGGGGCAAGCCTGCCTGGGCTAGTCAGCTTCAAACGTCAAAGGTGGTTTTCCCATTCCTGGTGGCCTTCACTGCCTCTGCCTGGTCCTTTGTTGTCCCACCTTCAGCTCCTTTCTCTCCCTACTGCTACCTGCTTTCAGCTACAACAGCTCCAGTTCATACCTCCTGGGCTCCAGATGTGGAGTACAGCTGCTCACTGCGCTTACCTATAGATGTCCTATCTGGGTAATGGCCCAACCAGCTACCCAATTGCTCAAGCCCTGTCAACTATCCTTGATTCCTCCCTCCCCTGCCACCCAAATGGTCAGCGAGTGCTCTGTGTTCAGCCTCCGTAATACCTCCAGTGTATTCCCTAACCTGAGCCTGCATTTGAAAATGATTAAGACTTTATTTTTAGTAGTTATAGATGTACAGGATTATTCAGACAGTACAGGGTTCCACCCACCCCTTCTCTGCTCAGTTTCCTGTATTATTAACATTTTGTATTAGGTGGTGTATTTGTTACTATTGATGACCAATACTGACACGTTATTGTTAACTATAATCCCTAGTTTAGGGTTCCCTCTGCGTTGTACCATTTCTATGGAGTTTGACAAATGCATAAAGTCATGTATCCACCATTAGTTTCAAGCAGAATGTAAATCCTGTTTTCCGTGGCCTCACTCTAACCCTAACCCTTGCTCCTGGGCCTTTCCTTCCTATCCTTCCCTCTGTAATGCCACTACTTGCTGCTTCTAGCCCCTGGGCGGGTTCTGCACTCCCGACCTGACACTATACCTTATGCCCCTGCTACTGTAGATGGCACACTGCTCTCTATGTGTAGGTTGAACAATTCACCATCCTGTCCTGTACCTCCGTTCTCCCTTTGGCTGGCGCCAGGCACGTGACTAAGACAGCCAGCAGCCAGGTTAGCAGTTACTAGAGCGCAGGAGGGCAGGGGCCAGTACCGGAAGACGCGCCTGCCGCTCTCCGTTTCGCCAGCTCGGGCGAGGCTGTGTTCTGATTGGTCGGAGGCGGAACCTTAGTCCGCCCTCTGCGCTGCGGTTCCCAGGCTCTGATTGGTCCGGCGGCACCTGGCCGGGCTCTGCGCGGCTGGGAGCGCGGGCATGCGCGGCTGGGAGCGCGGGCATGCGCGGCTGGGAGCGCGGGCATGCGCGGCTGGGAGCGCGGGCATGCGCGGCTGGGAGCGCGGGCATGCGCGGCTGGGAGCGCGGGCATGCGCGGCTGGGAGCGCGGGCATGCGCGGCTGGGAGCGCGGGCATGCGCGGCTGGCTCGGCCGCGCCTTGGCCCGGGTGTGGTGGGAGGGAGCTAGGTAGGGCTCCCGCGGTGCCCAGTTACGCCTTCTTTCCTTCCGCGTGCGAACTTGGCCCGCCCTCGCCCTCTGCCCTCCGTCCTTCGTGCCTTGCGTCCCTGTCGGGCCCCTGGACTCTCAGCCGCTCCTTCCGCCTCCAAGCGGTTAGCGGCTTGGTCCTCACCTTCTGCGGGATAACTGGCTTTTGGGTCTCTAAAGGGGAACAATGGAGCTAAGGATAGAGCGAGCAGTAGGGGGCAGTTTCATTCAGTGCCTTAAGTGCCAAACACTCAGGGTGTTAAAGCAGGGCTGAATGGGGGCATCATGTGAATATTTCTGGAGTTAGAAAAGGACTAATGAGAGCATTTGAACGCAGGGGCTGAGGCCAGTTCAGCAGCCATTCCCTGTGTGCTTAAGCCCTGTGCCTGGCTCTGCTGGATGAATGAGGGACCTTCGGGACCAGTATCAGCTCCGATGGAAGACTAGGGGGTAGGCGGGGTATGTTGGTTAGCTAGGGAGGGGCAGGGGTCCCTGGTTCCTCTTGGCATGAGGCAGCGGTGGGGCGCAGGACCTGTTTCTCTCTTGAAACAAGAGCAGGTTCAGGTGTGCCTGCTGTGGGAGGGGGTTGGGACTCTGGCCTCGCCTGAGAATTCTAACGTTGGTACTTCTGGGGTCAGCTGCTGGAAGTCCATCCAGGTTCTGGGCTTGCCAGGGTTTGGCCAGCACCCAGGCCTTGAAGCCCCAAGCCCTGTGGACACATGGCATTAGAGAAGGGCCTTGGAAGGGAGCTGAAGGGGGCAGGGAGCTGAAGGAGTGTGTTTTTTCCTTCTGGGTAAGAGAATTAATTGCTCTTAGTTGAAAGGCAGGAAATACCTGCACAGTCTCCCCTCCATGCCAGATCCGCAGGTCAAGGTCATGTGTGCCCACATTTGTACAGAGCCTGACTTTGACGTCCATGCATACGACATACCTGGATCTCTGACACACACACACACCAGTGCCTAAGTGCTTTGCTCCTCTCCTACCATCTATACCCCAGGAATTTCCCTCCCACCAAACTGAAGCCAGTTGTTCAGTCTGCCTGTCACCCACCACCTGCCTTCCCAATTTACTGGAGAAAAGCTGGTGCTTTGTGGTAGAGAGGGGTGCCCTGGGTGAAGGAGGCCCTAAGACTGGCCCCCAGCCTAGCTAAGACCTTGATCTGAGGGAGCTCCCCTCCACCTGCAGGCCTAGGACAGGGCAGGTGCAAGCTGCAGGGGAAAAGAGTCAGAAGTGTCTCTTCCGGCAGCAGGAAGTGGTAACCACCTATGGGGAAATGGGGCTTGTTCCCCATATGTGGCTGAGCAGAAAGGGAACCATGGCTGAACCCTGCTCCCTTCCCCCAAGGGGGCCTGGAGGGAACAAAAGGTGCTGAAGTTCCTCCCCCCACCCTCACCCCTCCCCTGGAACTTCCCACCTCAGCTCTCAAGGCTCCTTGGGCCTCTCTCAGGGCTGTGACTTGGCCCCATCTGATGTCTGGGGGAAGCAGGCTACCCAGGGGGAGTCCAGGACCTGGAGCAGCTATGGTATTAATGCCCACTGGTATTGTGCGCCAGTGGCCACGTGTGAAGGGTGCAGTCTGGCAGTGGTGACCAGAGACAGCCTTCTGGAGGTTGGGGGTTGGCAGCCAAGGATACCAGCTTGCTGGACACCTTGGGGCTCTCACATCCGCCCTGGCTGCTTCGCTACAGGGCTTTTTGGCACAAGGCAGCCTAGGTGCAGGCCCATTGGCAAGGGGTGACAAGGCCTGGGGCACACTGGGGCTGGAAGAGGTTCCCTGCATCCAGGAGCCCCTTGGGGGCAGTGCCGCCCCGCCCCACTGGGAGCAGTGCTGAGGGCGGGGCGGGGTGGAGCTGGCGCAGGGTGCTGGCTGGAGCGACCAAGGTCCTGGCGCCCGGCCTGCTGGCAGCTGCGTGGGAGCAGCAGGTTTCCACGGTACGGCCCTGGCCACCATGGCTGGGCACGGGAAGCTGCGGCGGGAGCGGGGGCTGCAGGCTGAGTATGAGACGCAAGTTAAAGGTGAGAGGGCGCTGGGTCGCGAGGGACCCCAATTGTCGGCTGCTGGCCTGGTGCAGCTCTCCCCCAGTGACCTCTGGAGGGGGAGGTGAAGGGAGCCCAAGCCCCCTGCCCACCTCCCTGTGCCCTTTGGCTTCAACCACCTGCCATCCCCCTCCCTACCTGAGGCTCAGTGGAGATGCTGGTGGTCTCAGGGAAGGGGGGACCACGTGCACCAAGGTGTACCCCGAGAAGGCAGCATTTTAGCTCAAGTGAAATCAACCACCTTGACTTTGGGGAGAGGTAAGGGAGTTGAAGTGAGTATATTGGTGAGCACCTTGCCCTAACACCACTGCAGTCCCTAGAGCCCCAGCACATTTGGCCTCCCCTTAGCACTGAGGTGGCTCTGAGGCGAGGGCCAATGTCTCTGGGCCAAGCTGGTGGAGTGAATCTTGGCTTGAGAGATTCAACAGGGTTGGCTTCTCAGCCTCCTGAAATTAAACCTCTTTGAATTCTGATAAACAGCCCTGTGCAAATCACATGCAAATCAGCTTTGCAAACTCTTAGCCAACAGCTTCTGCTGGTCTTACTCAGGGGATGGTAACTTTGCAAAGGAAAGAAGGCAGTGCCTAAGCACCAGCGGTTCCCATGGGCCTTCAGATGTCTGACCCCTGCATTACCCTCAATTGCTCTGTTTTACTGACTGCAGAAACAAACTCTTAGAGGTACAGTGACTTGCCTGTGGTCACAGCACTACAGCTCCTCGGAGGTAAAATGAAATGACCCTTGAAGTACTTTCCAACCCAGAGATGCAGGTTCCAATGTACTTATTCAGCATAAGCGATCTATATGAAAGTGGGCCCCAATTATCTGCTCTTGGGAGAGGCAGCCTATGTGCAGAGCCAGTTTGAGGTGCCTGCACAGGGTGAGCCAGGTGTCATCATTTCTCAGATGGAGATAGTAATCCCCATCTTGCTTCCCCAAAATGCCATGAATCTGAAGGACTTTGAAAACTGCAGTCAGGAAATAGGGGTCAGTTAATTCACAATGAAAAATTGGGGTTTGAGCAAGGTTGTCCTAAGACAGTGATCCCCAACCATTTTGGCATCAGGGACCGGTTTCATGGAGGACAGTCTTTCCACAGATGGGGCTGGGCTGGGGAGTGTAGCGGCTAGGAGAGGGGTGCAGAGCTCAGGTGGAGATGGGCAACCCCTTTCCCGACAGGACACAGACTGGTACCGGCTGCGGCCTGGGCTTAGGGACCACAGGTCTAGGATGTTCTTTACTTGCTCTGCGTCTCCATCCCACCCTGACCTGCCATAAAACTTCCTACCATGCTTTAAAAATAAGGTCACTGTCTCAACATCCTAAATTCTGAAAGATCAACATAGTCCTGGTTTGGGAGGCCATCTTCTCTTCTGTTTTGCTTGTCAGCAGAAGTGAGACTGAATGCCTTGTTCACAGGAAGTATCGGTGGGGCCTGAACCCAGCTCTGTAATCAAGCCTAGTTGGGTTCTAGCTCTCTTTTTGCCAGACGTTTTGTATACAGCTGTTCTGTTCCGGGCCCTGGGAATACAGTGCTGAACAAGAGAGAACCAGTACCTGCCTTCATGTGGCTCATAGATCTAGTGAGGGAGACATAAAGTAAACAACTTAGCACACAATGAATTTCAGTGATGAAAACCACTATGAAGGGAAAGTGCAGGAAGCCAAGAAGGGGGTAGCAGGAGGGCCAGACCTGGTATGGGGAGAGGTCAGGAAAGGGTTCTCTTATGACTTTGCATCTGAGCTGAGGTCTGAAAGGTCTGCGGTGGCACAGCCCAGGGGCTAGGGGCTAGGCACCAGTTGCCTGTGCTCCCTGGGAAGGCCATGAATGCAATTGGCTTGCAATTTACCAGCCTCCTACCTGGCACCAGCCAGTGCATGTGGATCTGGACCTGGCCATGGCTTCCAGTCGGCTTTCGCTGCTGGCAAGGAAGAATAAAGCTGTGGTTTGGTCTGCTGTTCAGTTGCAGTCGGGCCCCAGGGATAGCATTCCTCCAGGAAGACAGTGCAGGGTGGGGCAGGCTCCAGAGGGAAGGTGAGGTGAGCACAGTCATCTGAGGCCTTTCTTGAAATGAAATTTACTTTTATCCAAAAAAATGTTACCCTAATGGTATACCTCAGATGGCATGAGGAGACTCTTTCCCTCTCTCACTTGGCGCTGGGGACTCTGCCCTGCTCTGCATTGCTCTTGCTGTCGGGAAGTACCCTCCTCCCCAGGCTTCTGGTACCCAGTGTGGAAAGTAATTCCAGTGGGAGGGTTAGGGCTGGGGCCCCTGAGCACATCACCTGGCCAGACTGGTGGGGCCTGGGAGGGGAGCAGCTGGAGTCAGGGAGTGAGAGGCCAACCCTACTCAACCCCAGGGGCCAAGAGTAGGGAGGGGACAGTCTCCAAGAGGAAATCAGAGGAGGAGAGAGATGGGGAGGCCCCATGCAACAGCCTCCAGGGAAATGACTGGCAAGACAGTGAACAGCTAGCCCAGGTCCTGCCTCCACCCTGGCTCCCTGCTCTGAGCCCACACTGTCTTTTGCCTGGATTAGTGCAGTAGCTGCCACCTGGAATCCACCGGCAGCAAGGGGGCCCTAAAGTGAAGGCAGACTATATTGCTCTGTTGCTGTGGTGCCGCCCCCCCCCCATCAGAGTCCAGCTGTGAGCCCTCTATGGATCACAGGCTCTGTGCCATCTGTCCCCACCTGCCTGGGCACAGCCAGCTCCAGCCTCCTACTCTAACCAGTGTTGCTCTTGCCTATCCTCTACTAAGAGAATCTCCCTGCCCCCTACCTCCCACTGTGACCATGACTGTGTGTTTGTCTTCTCAGCACCTGTTGCTCCTGGACATTCTAATGTGTGGCTGTCCACTTGCTATCTGAGCCCCATTCCAATCCCAGCTCCTGGAGGGCAGGCACTTGGCCAGCCCTCTTTGTCACTGTATCTAGAATGTGCCTGCCACAAAATGGGTGCATAATCAACATTCTGATAAATTTAGAAATCAATTAATGTGCCTCCCTGGGGATGTGGGCAGAGATTGGTAAGTGGGCAGTCTGCCTGCCAGAAGCCAAGACAGTGTCTTGTTTATTCGAGATCCTGATCCCAGTGCTTGCTTGGGCACTCGGTGGTTGGCAAAAGTGTTTTCAACAGGTTGCTTAAGCTTGTCAGATGGATAGTTCTTTGCTTTAGATCTGTATGGAGGAAGCAGCATTGCCAAATCAAGCCAGTGATAAGGTGTCAAAAGGCCAGTGGAGTGAGGGGGCAGGGAGGGGGAACTGGAGACAGAAGACACAGGCCAGTCTGCCCATCCCTTCACTTATCAGGGCCTTACTGGGGTACTGTCCTTTCCCTGCAGGTTCAGCAGAACACCAAAGCAGCCTCGCCTGAGCAGCCCTGTGTATCTGTGCATTTGCAGGGAGGCTGCTGCACCCGGGGTCCTGGGTACCCCAGGGGAAGGAAGTGGCAGGGGAAGCCATCAGGGGCTTTCCAGGAACCAGGGAGGGAGGGGGATTGAGTGGTCTTGATCGCCCTTTGTGAACAGCTTCAGCCTTCCCAGAGCTGCCATGCCGCCTCTCACCCCTGGGCCTTTGCATAGCTCTTGCCTTTCCCTGGGATACTTTTCTCCTTCCTCCTCAACCAGTTGGGTCTGGCCATTTCCCTTTAGCCTCCTCACACATGTCCCTTCCGCAGGAGGCTTCCCCAAGCTCAGCAGGACAGGTGAGCCCAGAACTTCCTGCCTCCTTCCTCCTCTTTTAGCTCCAGCTCTTAGCCTAGGCTAGGTACAAAGGTGCCCTCAGGGCAAACGGGACAGTTGTCTGCGAGTCTCTGTCTCTCCCACCCCACGCTGCTGGCCAGGCCTGAGCAGTGGTCCCCTCTGCAGAGATGCGCTGGCAGCTGAGCGAGCAGCTGCGCTGCCTGGAGCTGCAGGGCGAGCTGCGGCGGGAGCTGCTGCAGGAGCTGGTGGAGTTCATGCGGCGCCGTGCTGAGGTGGAGCTGGAGTACTCCCGGGGCCTGGACAAGCTGGCCGAGCGCTTCTCCAGCCGTGGAGGCCGCCTGGGGGGCAGCAGCCGGGAGCACCAAAGCTTCCGGTAGGCAACACTCTGCAAGATGGCCACAGCAGGGTCCGAGGCTCCCATGCCTCAGTCTGAGTGCCCCTTTCCCTCCAGGAAGGAGCCGTCCCTCTTGTCTCCCTTGCACTGCTGGGCTGTGCTGCTGCAGCAGACACGGCAGCAGAGCCGGGAGAGTGCCGCCCTCAGTGAGGTACTGGCTGGGCCCCTGGCCCAGCGCTTGAGCCACATCGCGGAGGACGTGGGGCGCATCGTGAGGAAGGTATGGCTCTCACCCTGGGCCACAGGAGGTGTTGGAGGCTTCAGGATCTAGTAAGGGCAGTCCATGGGGCTCAATCCAGAGGTGCTGCCACTGGGAGGGCATGGGAGGCCAGGAGCGCATCAGGCAGTGCAGGCTTGAGCTGGGTGGAGCCTGGAGTGCTGAGCTGAGGCACGGTGGGTCATCCCAAGACTGTGGCAGGTGCTGCACTGGGGCAGTGCTGTGGTCACACTCCCCCCTCCACCCCTAGAGTAAGGATCTGGAACAACAGCTACAGGATGAGCTCATGGAGGTGGTCTCGGAGCTCCAGATGGTGAGGACACAACAGAGGAAGGGCCTGCCCCGATGGCCCAGGGAGAAACGCCAATCCAAGGGAGGCGAGGACACCCCCACGCCAGCACATATCCCCAAGCCTGGCTTAAGGAGAAGCAGGTGCCCTTGGGAGACTTGGGTTTGGGGGGCCCGGGCCATGGCCCCCTCTCTCTAGGCTGCAGCATCCTGCTCCTGGCACAGGGCCGAGTACTCATATAGGATCGCCCAGCTCAGGTCTGAGCCCCAGATGGAAGCAGGTGGGGAGGAGGGGCTGGCTGTGGCCACGGCCTTCAGCGGGCTGCCTTGTCTTGGCCCTCCCTGCAGGCCAAGAAGACATATCAGGTGTACCACACAGAGAGCATGAATGCTGAGGCCAAGCTCCGTGAAGCCGAGCGACAGGAGGAGAAGCGGGCAGGCCGGAGTATCCCCACCACCACTGCTGCCACCGTCGAGGCAGGAACCCTGTGCAAGAGCTCCCTCAAGAAGGGAGGGCGGCTGGTGGAGAAGGTGAGCCTGGAGGACACCTTGAACTCAGCCTACGGGCTCTGGGCCGTCTGCCTATTCATCTCTGAAGGCTCTGGCTCCTGTCCTTTGTCCCTGAGAGTCCCGAGCCCTCACTGGGGCCTGCTGTGTGGAGGGGGAAGCCAGAGCTGGATGGGGGGAGGGCCTTGGTCCAGCCAACCCTCCTAGCTCTAGAGGGGTCCCTAAGCTAGGGGTGGTAGTGGCAGGACAATGCCATTGGGTTACAGGGATTGAATACAGAAGGCTCCATTGGCCTGAGAGACGGGGGGAGGAGAATAGTCACTAGGCCCGAGACAGCCCTATGCCATCCCCCCCACCTCCCCGTGCTCCAATCTGGTTCCCCCACAACCCTGCCTTTCAGCTGTGCCATGAAGATACTTAGGATGGGTGATTGGGTGATGTGCAAGTAGAAAGAGCATTCAAGGTGGCCCCTGAAGAGAGACTGGAGGGGTTGAGAAATGCCAGGATGGAGCTACCAAGCTAGGTGGGGCAGAGGGCAGTGGTCTGGGCCCACCTGAGGTGGGACTGGGGCTGCTGGCCTGAGACTTGGGGAGGAGAGGAGGGAATTGGGCATCTTTGTATGTTCTTGTGGCAAGTGACAATGTTGGATTGTGTTTGGGAAAGTTCCCCTGCTATTGTACTTAGAGTGCCCTCCAGTGCTTCCCTGCAGGACTTCTGGGCTACATTGAGTTTGAGGGACCTGTGGGACATTGGGTGTAGTTGTCCACAAGGCAAGGGGAAGGGGTGGATGTTACATGGAAGGCCAGAGATGGGGGGAGGCCGGCCAAGTGGGTGACCCTGGCGCGCTTGCATTGTCTTGAGTAGCGTCAGGCCAAGTTCTTGGAGCACAAACTCAAGTGCACAAAGGCTCGCAACGAGTACCTGCTCAGCCTGGCCAGTGTCAACGCCGCTGTCAGCAACTACTATTTGCATGATGTCTTGGACCTCATGGATGTGAGTCCTCAGTGGGTGGGCAGGGACAGGTGCTCAGCACACCCGGGCTCAGAGGCCACAGCTCTAGGGCCCACCTGAACGTCTCCTTGCTTCCTCCTCAGTGCTGTGACACAGGGTTCCACTTGGCCCTGGGGCAGGTGCTCCGGAGCTACACAGCCGCTGAGAGCCGCACCCAGACCTCCCAGAGGCAGGGCCTGAGCAGCCTGGAGGAAGCTCTGGAGGCCCTGGATCCCCCAGGGGACAAGGCCAAGGTGCTCGAGGTGCATGCCACTGCCTTCTGTCCTCCACTGCGTTTTGACTACCAGCCCCATGAAGGAGATGAGGTGAGGGTCACTCCTTGCTGCCCTTAATGCCCCAAGCATGGTTCCAAAGGGCTTTGCATTCTCTGGCCTTCACTGTAGTGGTGGGTTGGTCACATGATTCACACTTGGCTTTGGGCAAATGCAGCTCACTAGAGAAGGTTTCTTGCTTCCATTTGCAAGAGGCTATTGTCGGAGGGTACAGCCTACACATGTGCCCACAGTGGCCAAAGTATTAACTGTTGACGTTCGGTCATGGGTGGCTATGTAGCTGTCCGTATATTGTTCTTGCAATATTTCTGTACATTTAAAAACTTTTATAATATAAACGTGGGAGGAAATGGACCATATAAGCAGTAAGATATGATTAGGCATCTTTTTGCTTGTCCCTTGAGATGTTTTTTCCTTCAACAGGTTATCCTAATGGGCATTGAATATGGCCTGGGATTACATGGGACACCTTTGGGGCTGACTTGGAACTTGATTTATTCTGGTCTGAACTCCTAAACTCAAGCAATCCTTTTGCCTTGGCCTCCCAGAGTGCATGAGCCACTGTGCCCGGCTGAAACTTGATTTATTGTGTATTTTGACCGAAGTAACATAGTTTAAAAAGTCCAGCTTTACCCAGGGCTTACAAAGGCATGCAGTCATTGTCTAACCCTTCCCGTTCCTAACTCCCACTCCCAGAAACAGCCGCAAGTGGGCTCTGCTGCCTTCCACCACCATTGTCTCCCCTGGCTGCCCACACGCTTCCCTATCTCATTCTCCCAGTGTGTTCATCCCAGAATTTTTGGCTAAATTAACATTCAGTGTTTAAATTATGATGACAAACATGCCCAATGTAGTGGCTCATGCTTGTAATCCCAGCTTTTTAGGAGGCTGAGGCAGTAGTATTGCTTGAGGCCAGGGCTTTGAGACCAGCCTGAGCAACAAGTAAGAGCCCATCTCCACAAAAAATTTAAAACTTAACCAGGCATGGTGGTGTGCACTTGTAGTCCCAGCGACTCGGGAGGCTGAGGCAGGAGGATTGCTTGAGCCCAGGACTTTAAGGCTGCAGTGAGCCATGATTGAACCACTGCTCTCTAGCCTGGGTGACAATGCGAGGAAAAAAATTATGATGACAACAAATACTGTTCCCAGGTCAGGCGTGGTGGTTCACGCCTGTAATCCTAGCACTCTGGGAGGCCAAGGTGGGTGGGTCATTTGAGCTCAGGAGTTCGAGACCAGCCTGAGCAAGAGTGAGACCCCATCTCTACTAAAAATAGAAAGAAATTAATTGGCCAACTAAAAATATATACAAAAAAATATTAGCCAGGCATGGTGGTGCATGCCTGTAGTCCCAGCTACTTGGGAGGCTGAGGCAGGAGGATTGCTTGAGCCCAAGAGTTTGAGGTTGCTGTGAGCTAGGCTGACGCCGCGGCACTCTAGCCCAGGTAACACAGTGAGACTCTGTCTCACAAAAAACAAAAACAAAAACAAATACTGTTCCCAGCTGAGCCATGTACCGTATTAGGATTACTTGTCCTTCCTTGGACAACTTTGCATTTTCTTCTGGAATTAATAATTGTCCCTCCTCGTTAGTATAGTGGTGAAAAAGATAAAAAAAAAAAATAAAAAAAAAAATAAAAAAAAAATAATTGTCCCATCTTACAATGCTGCTTAGCTTTGTAAGTCACTATCACCAGCACATGCCCGTTGCTATGTGCTCATTGCCACCTCATGCCCACACTCTCAGATAGATCAGGCCTCCCAGGGCTGTCCTCCACACCAGGTACTCTGTGGGTCCTGTCTCCTCTGTGCCCTCCCTGGAGTCCTGCAGCATGAACTGCTTGACTTCTCGACCTCCTGCAAAGCTGCTGGCTGGGAACCACCACCCCCCCACCCCACCCCCGCATCATCCCAAGAAATCCTGCTGCTCCTTCTGCGTTGGACCCTGTATTTCCTGGATGCCATGTATGAATCTTTCTTGTTTTTTCAGGTTCCTTTTGGTGGATGCCTTCCACAGTGGTTTCTTGGCTTTGTGTATCTGAAAATGTCTATATTTTGTCCTTGCAATTGATTGGTAGTTTGGATGGTGTAGAGTTCAAGAGTGAAAGTCGTTTTACCTTTAGGATGTTAAAGGCATTACTTCTTTGTCTTCAAGCTTTCAGTATTGCAGCTGCGAAGTCCCATGTCATTTCAATATCTGAAGCTTTGTACATGACCTGTAATTTTTCTCCCTCCCACCCTGTTGTAGAATTTCATGGTGATAAGCCTTGGGCATCCTTTTTACTTCATGGTTCTGGGCAGCCAGTGGGTCCTGTGCATCTGGAAAGTTATATCTTGATATTTGGGGCTTGTATTATTCCTTTGATAATGCCCTCCCCTTAATTTCCTTTTCTCTCTCTTTGGCGATCCTTGTTAGTGGATATTGGACCTAATGAGTTGATTCTCTAATTTCCTTTTCTTTTCTTTTTCCATACCTTATAATGCCTTCTTAGAGATTTCTTCAACTGTCTTTTCTGACTCTCTTGTTGAATTAAAAACAAATTTTACTTTTATGTTTTTTATTTCTAAGAGTTCTGTTTTGTTCTCTGCATTCCTGTTTAAAATAACCTTTTGTTCTTGTTTTGTGGGTGCAGTATCTTCTTGATGTCCCTTTGCTCCTGCATTTGCTCTCTGTCATCCATTGTAGAGCTTCCTGCAAGTGGAGATTCTTGGCCATCAGTTCCCAGTTACGAGGAGACACTGAGGGTGGATTAGACATTTCCTGTGTGTAAACAGAGCTTGTCAACAGTGGGCTACCCCACAGGGTGACTGTGCAGCAACTCAGCTCTTTTGTTGAGGAAGCCCCAAATATTGGTGTTGTGGCTCTTTCCTCCTTAAGTGGTCAATGCCGTTTGCACCTCTGTACGACACTCACTGCAGGGATGCTGCATGTCTGTCTGTCTGTCTCTCTCTCTCTGTCTCTTTCTTTCTCTTTCTTCCTTCCCTCCTTTCTCTTTCTCTTTCTTTTTCTCTCTCTCCCTTTCTTTCTTTCCCTCCCTCCCTCCCTCTTTCTTCCTTTCCCTTTTCTTTTCTTGACAGGGTCTCACTCTGTCACCCAGGCTGGAGTGCAGTAGCACAGTCATAGCTCACTGTAACCTTGAACTCCTGGACTCAAGTGATCCTCCTGCCTTGGCTGGAGGATTATAGGCATGAGCCACTGTTCCCAGCGTACCATTCTGTTTTAAATAAATAGTTTTATTGAAATATAATTCACATACCATACAATTCACCCATTTAAAGTATACAATTCAATGGTTTTTAGCATATTCAGAGTTGTAGAACTATCACCAGTATCTAATTCCAGAACATTCTCATCATTCCAAAAAGAAACTCTGTACCTGTTAGCTGTCACTCCTCCCCCTCCCTCAGCTACTGTGTCTGCGTTTACCTGTCTAGGCGTTTCATGTAAATGGATCTGTAAGCTGCATGGCCTCATCCTTTCATGGGCCTTTCGTGCCATGTGTGGGGCAGGTTTTGCGCCTTTCATGGCTGAGTGGTGTCCACTGTGTGGGCAAAACACAGTTTGCTCATACATTATGCCACAGGGGTCTGGGTGTCTGCTATTCATCCCCACTCCCCCGCCTGGGCTCTCTGTGAGCAGGCCCAGGCCCCAGCTTCTGCGTGCTGCCCCTTTGCAGGTGGCTGAGATCCGGGTTGAGATGGAACTGCGGGATGAGATTGTGCCCAGAGCCCAGAATATCCAGAGCTGCTTGGACCGGCAGACCATAGAGACAGAGGAGGTATGGGTGACTGGCCTGGGTGGGAACAGGGGTTTGCAGTGGCCTCCTCTTCCCCTTCCTCTATCCTCCACTTCTTCTCCCACTTCTTACCGCCCTGGTGTTGTCCCCTCCCCAGGTGAATAAGACGCTGAAGGCAACGCTGCAGGCCCTGCTGGAGGTGGTGGCATCAGATGACAGGGATGTGCTTGACTCCTTCCAAACCAGCCCCTCCACTGAGTCCCTCAAGTCCACCAGCTCAGATCCAGGCACCCGGCAGGCAAGCCGGAGACGGGGCCAGCAGCAGGAGACAGAGACCTTCTACATCACGGTGGGGAGGGCCAGACGAGGTGGGGGGAGGGAACATGAAGGGATGTGGTTGGGGCAGAGGGAGGGCTGGAGCCAGCACTAAAACTCTGGGCTTTTCTTGGGGCTTCCCAGAAGCTCCAGGAGTACCTGAGTGGGCGGAGCATCCTTGCCAAGCTGCAGGCCAAGCACAAGATGCTACAGGAGGCCATCCAACGAGGTGGGCCCCTCCTCCCTCCCTCCCCCAGGGCAGAGACTCACCGCCCTCTTCTCCCCTGCCTGGAAACCCCTACCCAGCCCCTGTACCTCCTCACCCAGAGAGGTTGATTGGCGTGTGGGGACTGACCCAGCAAGGGTCCCGGCCTCTCTCTCACCCTTGGCTCTGAGCCTCTAGGCCACACCTTTCCCTCTGGTGTAGGTTGAAGCCTTCCTGCCTGAGAGGCAGACCAGCATTTTTTCCTCCCCAGGTGACAAGGAGGAGGGGGAGATGTCTTGGTGAGTCTTTCATGAGGGGCTGGCTTGTTCCAAGGACCTGGGGCTCAGCTCTGCTGCCCAGTGAATTGTGGAATAACTCAAGATGTCCAGGCGGCTCACGCCTGTAATCCTAGCACTCTGGGAGGCCAAGGCGGGAGGATCACTTGAGGCCAGGAGTTGGAGGCTGCAGTGAACTATGATGATACCACTGTACTCTACCCAGGGTGACAGAGTTGAGAGTCTGTCATAAGAAAAAAGGGGGGGGGGAAGCCGTCCAGAGCCCTGCCTGGCTGGCCAGGGATGAGGCACCCTGTGCCCCATGCCCGCTCCTGTTCACTGTAGGACCCAGTACACACAGAGAAAACTCCAGAAGAGCCGCCACCCTCGCCCCAACTCCCAGTATAACCAGAGACTCTTTGGGGGAGACATGGAGAAGTTTATCCAGGTATGTGCTTTGCCTTGCACTCCTCCTGCTCAAACCCACCCTGCACGTTCCGTGGCTGAACAGCTGCTTGATCCCAGTGTCCTTCATTCTTGGCAACTAGTCAACTGTCCCTTTCTGAGTGGGCCTTTTCCAGACCTCTGCTGGTCTCTCCAATGGCCTCCACTAATTGAAGGGCACATCCTAACTAGTAATAGGGCAGCACTGTTTCTAAGGCTGAGATGCTGAGGGTTTCCCCTGCAAGTGGGATCAACACAGAGGTCCACAAGCCCCACCTGTGGCCAACATGGTACAGAGGACCTTGACAGTGAAACAAGGGAAGCAAGAAAGATCAGAAAAGAAGAAATAACACTGTCATTCGCAATGATGGGATTAGGTACATAGAACAAAAGAATCGACCACCTATTTATTTATTTTATTGAGACAGGGTCTTGCTCTGTTGTCCGGGTAGAGTGCAGTGGCATCATCACAGCTCACTGCAGCCCCAAACTCCTGGGCTCAAGCGATCCTCCTGCCTCAGCCTACCGAGTAGCTGAGACCACAGGTGTGTGACACCACGCCTGGCTAATTATTTTATGTTTTGTAGAGACAGGGTCTCACTATGTTGCTCAGGCTGGTCTTGAACTCCTGACCTTAAGGGATGCTCCCACCTCAGCCTCCCCAAATGCTGGGATTACAGGCATGAGCCACCTTGCTTACCCTCAACAGGCTATTTAAGTGAATAAATTTGAGTTTTGCAATGTTACTTGATTCAAGGTCAACATACAGAATGTGATTGCATTTCTACATTCCAGCAACAAATAGTTTGCAAATAAGATGTGAGGCACTACCTAAGATAGTATCAGAATTATTGGACACTTAGGAGTGAATCTAACAAACTGCTTCCTAGGTCTCTATGGTGACAACGGTAGTGTATTGTTAAGGGAAAATAAAAAGCAATTGAGTGACAATACAGAATGTGTGTGTGAAGTAAACACTCTGTCCCCAGAGCTCAGGCCAGCCTGTGCCCCTGGTGGTGGAGAGCTGCATCCGCTTCATTAATCTCAACGGTAAGCAAGGCCCAGCCCTCCTGCTGCCCTGGCCACCTGGCCAGGGGAGGGGCCCACAGCCCACCAGCTCCTTGTCCTTCCACAGGCCTGCAGCACGAAGGCATCTTCCGGGTGTCGGGTGCCCAGCTCCAGGTCTCAAAAATCCGCGACGCCTTTGAGAGGGGTAAGGATGGGCTTACCCCTCTCAGGGATAAGCCTTACCTGAGGTAAGGCTCAGCCTTACCTCAGGTAAGGCTGGGGTGTGGTGGAATCTGGAGCACACCATCAGCCTCCTCACCCCACTATGTCACCTGCCTGCAGGGGAGGACCCACTGGTGGAAGGCTGCACTGCCCATGACCTGGACTCAGTGGCTGGGGTACTAAAGCTCTACTTCCGAAGCCTGGAGCCCCCACTCTTCCCCCCAGACCTGTTTGGGGAGCTGCTGGCTTCTTCAGGTGAGGCCAGGGCCCCACGCTGGCTGGGCAGGAGGGCCACTTGCCCCACTCATGAGTGGGTGGTGCCCCACTCATGATGTTCTCTCTGGGGGTGGCCCTGGCCACAGAGCTGGAGGCTGCGGCAGAGCGGGTGGAGCGCATGAGCAGCCTGCTGGCCCAGCTCCCTGCGGCGGTGCTGGTGGTGCTGCGCTACCTCTTCACCTTCCTCGGCCAGTGAGTGCTTCCCCGGGCCGGCTGGTGGTGGGGGCGGAGGGGAAAGGGTGGAAGTTCCCTGGCTGTGACCCACGTGTGCCCGTAGCCTGGCCCAGTACAGCGACGAGAACATGATGGATCCCTACAACCTGGCCGTGTGCTTTGGGCCGACACTGCTGCCTGTGCCTGCGGGGCAGGACCCAGTGGCCCTGCAGGGCCGGGTGAACCAGCTGGTGCAGACGCTCATTGTGCAGCCCGCCCAGGTTTTTCCACCCATCACAGTGCTGCCGGGCCCTGTGTATGAGAAGTGCATGGCACCACCTTCTACCAGCTGCCTGGGGTATGGTCTTGGTGCTGCCTTGGAGGTGGGGGTAGTCCTGTGGAGGGGAGGCCTGCTCATGCTCCTTGCTGTGCTCTGAACCTCAGGGACACCCAGATGGAGAGCCTGGCCAGGGATAATGAGCCAGAGCTGGAAGCCGAGAGCACAGCACGGGAGGATGGTGAGGGGTTGGGCAGGAGTTCCCCTGTCCCCACCCTGGGTCTCCACTTCCTCCCCACTTGGACTCCCTCTTCTCCCCAGATCTGGAGGGGGTCGTGGAGGCTGTGGCCTGCTTTGCGTACACTGGCCGCACAGCCCAGGAGCTGACGTTCCCTCGTGGGGATGTGCTGCAGCTGCATGAGCGCGCCTTGAGTGACTGGTGGCGAGGGGAACACGCCGGTGCACAGGGACTCATTCCCCACAAGTACATCACGCTGCCCATGGGGTGAGTGGGCCCCAGCCTCAGGGATGGTCCACAGTTCTGCCTCACCCTCCTGGATCTTGAGGCCCAAGGCTGTTGCCCAGTGCAGCCCTTCACCCAGCACGCTCTGGAAGTCACCGTGCTCACCCAGAGGTGTTCACACTGGAGTTGTCCAAACCGAGGTTGCTGCCCTTCCCCCATCCCAAGTCAGGTTCTGTAGGTCTGGGCTGGGCCCAAGAATGAGCATTTCTGACCACTTCTGGCTGGCACTGAGCCTGTTGACCCCAGGACCCCACGCTGGTCTTCCCCCAGGGCAGAGAAGCAGGCAGTGGGCCCAGGAACACAGGCCACAGGGGAGCTGGTGAGCAGTCCAGAGGGTCTCCTGGCCTTGGAGTTCATGCATCAGTGAGCACGGGGAAGACCAGCGGGGTCTGGGGTCAGACTGGGCCATGCGGGGGTGGAGATTATCAGGTGAGGGCTGCTGAAGGATAGGGGAGTCACAGCCTGTTCTCCCTGGCTGTACCCCAGGATGGGGGAGTCACTGCCAAGTTAGGTCAGGGCCTTACCAGGGCCCCTGCCAGGCTCACTGTGTGTGCCCTGCAGGCCAGAGCCGTGTGCCCTACCTAAGACCATGGGCCCCTCCGGGCAGAGACAGCACTGCTTGGTCCCAGCCTCTCAAGAGCCACACGTGGAGTTGGACAAGGTGAGAGGGGGCACTGGTCATGTGGCAGGTGAGGGGTGCCGCACCTGGGAGGTCTCTGCCTCCCCTTAGGGAACAAACTCCTCTCTCCCTGAGGTTAAGTCTCTGCCATCTGTGGCCTCAGCTCAGGGTTACTTGTCACCAGATAAGCAGGCCCAAGGCAGAGCCCAAGGAGGTGAAAGAGGGTGGGGTGGGGACGTTAGGGACAGGGATTAGGGACATGGGGCTTGAGCATTGGCCTTTGAGTTTGGTTCCTGAGCAGTGAGTGGCAGGCTCGAGTTAAGGCTGTCTGCACTGGCATGGACAAGGGGCTCCTGGGCATCTCTAGGAAGCTAGGTACCATGCGGTGACATGGCAGGCTCTTGGCACACTGGGGAGGATGAGAGGGACAGATGGCAGGGAGGCAGGAGGGGGTAGCTGACTGGGAGCAGAGAGCAGGCTCAGGACATGGCCAGCAAGGGGCACAGTAGGGGGACCCTGCTCCCTGCTCTGTACGACAGGCCCTATGAGCACTGGTGGGCTGAGCATGGAAGCCCTGGGGACAGTCACTGAGCCCCAGGTGTGGCCTAGCCCGTGGCCTAGGGAGCCCAGGCAGGTCTGGGGGGACACGCAGGCGCAGGAACCAGGCAGTGAGGGGCTGAGGAAGGTAGCTGGGAGACCCTAGGGCAGGGCATTCGCCTAGGAGTCTCCAGCATGCTGGTGGCCCCCGAGGCTGGCGGGGGAATATGATCTCAGCCAGGGAGAGTGTGCCCAGGGCCCAGCCAGAGAGGCCCCCACTCCAGGACTAGACCAAGCAATTGCTGTCCTCAGAGGAGACTGTGACAGAAACACCAAAGTGGCAGGAGAGAAACCAGGTGTGAAGTAGGGGAGGTAGCCTGGAGGCTGAGGGAGGAGGGGCGGGCAGCTGTGCCCAGCACTGTGTGGCCCATGGAGAGGAGGGGCTCTGGTGACAGGATGGTTGCTAAGGCCTTTGTTTCTAGAGTGGGAGGAGCTCAGGTGGAGGCCTCGGCAGGGTCTGGCAGATGAGGGGTGCACTCACTGAACACCCTCCCTCTCTCCTCCATCAGGCTGTGGCGCAGAACATGGAATCTGTGTTTAAGGAGCTCTTGGGGAAGACTGCTGTCTGTCAGGGCCTTGAGCTGGCATCTGCCACCTCCCCCAGCCTCGGGTCCCATAGCCACGTAGGCAGGAACAAGGGCTTCTCCCGTGGCCCTGGGGCCCCAGCCTCACCCTCAGCATCCCATGCCCAGGGCCCGGACTCAACCCTGAAGCCACACTGAAGTGCTGCTGGTGGAGCCTCTGTAGGCCTGCCCCTGCGCCTGGTGGCCACCCAGATGCCAGCCATTGTCCCTAGCCCTTTGCTTCGCCCTGGCCCTGTCTGGCAAATATAGAGGAGGGTAAAGCTGCCCAAACAGGGGGCTCAGCTCCATGGCCAACCCTGGTATAGTCCCTTTGGGAGGCAGCCAAGGAAGGAGGCTTTGCTCCGAGGGCTCAGTAGCAGCTATTGGGTGGCGGGCACCCTCACTCAGGTGAGCAGGCCTGCCAGGACCCAACCTGGCTCCTCCTCAGCTGTCTGGTAGGGGTGGCAATGATTCATAAAGATCTATGTCTTGATTCCCCAATGTGAGCTAGCTGTCTGTCTGGGGGTAGGCTGGGCAGGTAGATACAGGGCCCCAGCACCTCCATGCGGGAGGTGACACTAGAACCATAGGTTAGGTGGCCAGAACAGCTTTCACTGGGGGTCCTCTGGCACAGAGCTGTCCATGTGAGGGTTATGTCTCTTGGAGACCTGTGACTTGGAAGGTTTAGTTGCCTGCAGCGTGGGTTCTGGAGCTGAGCCCATGGGTGGGTGCTGCCGCCACACCCACCCACCATTCCCCTCATTCAAGGAGACCCTCACCGTGTGGCAGATGAGCTGCAACTTTTATTAGGGAGAGAATGAGGAGGGAGAGAAGAAGGGAGGGACTAGGGAGGCATGGACAGGAGGGTACCCTGGACTCACCCTGATCCTTCCTCTCTGGCTGCCCAGGGCTTCTATCTCACCTGGCAGGCACTGCCAGGGTAGCGGGCCTGTGCATGGAGGAGCTAACCTAAGGAGCCCCTCGGCCTTACATCCTGGCACTGAGGCCTCTTCAAACAGCTGGGGACGAGCTGGGGATGGTGAGGCTTGTCTAGAGCCACAGGCTGTGAACGATTCTCTGTGACTACCCCCCAGGCAGCTGAGCTCATAGCACCTCTGGAAGGAAGGCAGCTGCTGGCCCCTCAGGGAGAAGTGTCTTTGGCCAGGGAGGAGCTGGCAGTGGCACAGGACTCATCTGTGGGCCTCAGACCGGATGGGGTGTGCCCACGGGCGCAGCAGAGCAGGCCACGAAGCTCCGAGGACACGCTGCTGCTGAAGGAGGCGTAGATCCAGGGGTTGGTGCAGCTGTTGAGGCTGGCCAGCAGCATGAGTAGTACGAAGGGCGGCCCTGTGGGGTGTCCAGGTGGGGCTATGACCCTGCATGTCCACTGGGGGCCAGCAGCCCGCATGTGCACAGGGGACAAAAGTGTGTGTGCAGCCAAGCCTGAGTAGCCCCCATGGCCCCAGCCCCAGCCACACCCACCTTCCCGAGGCGCCTCCGGGTCCCATGCTGCCCACAGCTGCACGAGGAAAAAGGGTGCCCAGCACAGCACATAGACAATCACAATCACCAGCGTCATCCTCACGGTCTTGGTCACGGCTGCCGACACCCGAGCTCCTTCGCTGGGACTGCCTGTCCGGCACCCTCCACGGCGCCCCCTAGCCCTCTCTGGCGGCCCTGGCACCAGACTGGCATGAATCTCCCTGAATATAAGGACCTGGCAGGCTGTAATACCCAGGGCAGGTGCCACAAACACCATCAGGGCAATCCAGGTGACATAGGCACGAAGGCCCCAGGGCTCCGCAAAGTGGGCCCAGCAGTCAAGGACCCCACTGCCATCTCCCACATCACGCTGGGCAAAGATGAAGAGCTGGGGCAGGCTGAGAAGGAGCGAGAAGGCCCAGGCCACCAGCACTGGCCGGTTCCAGTGAGCCCCACCTCCATGGCGGTATGCCAGCATGGGACGGCAGATGGCACGGTGGCGGTCCAAGGTCATGGCCAGGATCATGTAGGAGGAGGCATACATGCCCACCATCTGCAGGTACTTGACAGCCCGACACAGGGCATCAGGCCCACGGAAGCGGTCAGTGGCATCCCAGGCCAGCTGAGGCAGCACTTGGAACAGAGCCACAGCCAGGTCAGCCAGGCACAAGTGGCCAATGAAGATGTGCATGGGTGCCCAGCGGCCTTGCCGGCCCCGCCGCGCCAGGACCCCCAGCACCAGGCCATTGCTCAGGGCCACAGCCACAAACACTGTGGAGAGCAGGGCCAGCTCTGCCCGGGCTAGCAACGGGTCCCGGGTGTCCGGTGGTGGCTCCTGGCTGCCATTGCTGGGCAGGGTAGGTGGAGAGAGGGGCCCGGACACAGCTGGCCAGGGGAGGAGGGGAGAAGGCCGAGTTAGGGGGTGACTTGCAGGCCCAAGTAGGCTCCCACCTGCCGCCAGAGCTGGTGTCCTGGGCAGCCATCACCTGGGCCTCCTGGTTCCCTCGCCCCTCTCTGGATGCCACTTTCTGACTCCCAGCAGAGGGGACTCCTCCAAGGACGCCATTACTGTGGGGAATTGCAGCCCCATGCCCGCCCCTCCCTGCTCATTGACAGCCTGGAGAGACAGACACTTTGTCCTGAGCCCCAGAGAGGACGGTGGAGGAGGTCTCTAGAAAGAGGAGCTTCTCTGCATCCTCAAACCCACTCTGCCCACCTGGCTCGGGGAGGCAGTGCTGGAGCCTTACCTGAGGTGGTGGACGCCATGAACATGGTGGGGCCGAGGCAGGTGTCCTGAATGGCTGGGGGAGACAGGGGGCAAACTCAGCCTCCACCCAAGAGGTCAGCCCCGCTGCCTGTGGTCTCTGGATGGGAGCCCTCGGGAGGCGTCGGTAGTGCACGCCTGTCAGTGTGTGTGTGTTCGTTCCTGGGCAGGGAAGATAGACAGTGAGACACACAGAGCCCAGGACCCACCCAGGCCGCCTGTGAGAATGGGATTTCAGAGAGGGCACCCAAGGTAGACACATAGACACCCCACGCTGCAGAGGCCAAGAGAGGCCACCATCAGAGGGCTGAAGACTGCACAGGAGGGGACCTTTCGCAGCCCCTTACCTGGCTAGGTTCCTGGGCAGTTGGGTGGCAGTGTGAAGGTGGCCAGGGTGCTGGGATCTGCTCTCCACCGCTGCCCCGCCCCAACCCAGCCTCTGGGAGTGACCTGCCTAGGAGGGGACTTCCTCCCCTTCCCCCAACCCCCTCCTACATGCCTCCCTGCTCTGTCCCCAGGCCTCCTTCACAACCCCCCCCCAACTGCCTGCTGCAGCCTCCGTGCCACGCGCCTGCTCTCCCCCAGCCCCAGCCCAGCAGGGCCCACCTTATGAGACCATGTGGCCTGGCTGTGCTCTGGGAGATGACTTAGCTGAGCACCTCCATTTTATAAGTGGGAAAACCAAGGCCACAGATGGGTGGGCCTGGCGCAGGATCACTCAGCTTTTTCTCGGCAGAGCTTCACTTCCTTTGCCTAGCCGGGCTGCTTCTGTCTCTTTGGGCTCGGCCAAGCAAGGGGTAAAGGCACCCTCTTTGGGCCCCTCCCAGGCCATGCGGGCCCCTCCCAGGCCACGCAGGCCCCTCCTCCTCCTCAATTAGGTTGGCCGGAGATGAGGGACAGGAAGGGAGGGGGTGGGGCAGGGGCTAAGGCAGGGCTTAATGTGCCCCTGTGAAATGCAGCTTCCTCCCCAGGGTCCTGTGGCAGCCAGGGCCACCCCCACCCTCTTCCTCCTCCCCCACCTGCAACTAGCTGTACTTGGAGGAGGGAGCTGGGGACCTCCATGTGCTCACATCTCTCTTTCATGCGATACAGCCACATGCCCACTAAGGTTCACACTTGACTTAGTCGCACATTCATGTTCATGGACACATGCCACATGCTGGGGCACGCATTCCTGGTACCTGTTGTATGTGGAGGGGCCTGAGTCAGAAGGAAGCCTCCATGCCCCCTTCAGCTGGGCTCTCTGCTCTGCCCCCAGCCCCCAGCCCAGGTGCTCTCTTCCCTCCAGGCCAATGAGGTTCAGCCTGGGCCGGTGCAGCCCGGCCCAGGGCAGCTCCCTTTTTACTGTTAACCTGTGACGCTGGAGACCAACACCCTCCCGCTGACCAGGCCTAAGTGTGGCCCACGGCCAAGGCCTGCTCTTCCTGCCCAGAGAGCCTGGTGCAGCCTGAGCCCCTCCCAGCCCCAAGGGACAGAGGCGACACAGGGTGGCCGTTTTCCAAAGACATAGGCACTCACCACCCTCCACCCGTACAGAACCACACATCACATACCACACCACATACACCACACAAACACCACACATGTCACACACACACACTATACGCACATGCACACAGCAACCACACACCACACAGATGCACACACTACACACACATTATACACATGTATACACACCACACCACATGCACCACACACTTGCATATACTATGCCATCTACATCACACACATGCACATGCACACACAAACACATCCCCACACACACCACACATTCACTCAAACACACATACCACAGATCTTACACACTCCACTCTCATGCACACACTACACACCACATAAGACACATCACACACAGTAGCACACATCACACCACACACACACTACACCCCCCACATCACCCATACACATGCACATACCACACACACCACACATACACACATGGCACACACATGTATGCACACATGCACACATACCACACACGACACACCACACATGCACACATAGCATGCATGCACACACATAGCACACACATATACACACCACACACACACAGCACACAGATGCATACACCACACTCATGCACACACCACACATACACACATACCACACACATGCACACACCACACAGCACATACAGCACACATACACACAGCACACAGATGTATACACCACACACATGCACATACCACACATACACGCATACCACACACATGCACACACACCACGCACATGCAAATACCACACATACACGGCACACAGATGCATACACCACACATGTACACACCACACATGCACACACATGCACACACCACACAGCGCACAGATGCACACACCACACACATGCATGCACATATACATACACCACACACACAGCACACAGATGTACACACATGCACACACCACACATACACAAACCGCACATACACACACAGCACACAGATGCATACATCACACAGCACACAGATGCATACACACCACATATGCACACACCACACATACACGCATACACATAGCACACATGCACACACCGCACACACACACACACAACACACATGCACATACATACACACAACACACATGCACACCACACACATGTATACACACACACCACATATACATCACACATACATAGCACATGCATGCACACACCACACATACACAGCACACACATGCATATACCACACACATGCACACACCACACACATGCATGCTTATCCTGTTTTTGCTGAACCCTTTGGATGTCAGCTGTAGAATGGTGACCCTAGGCCTGAACACTGCAGCTGCAGCTCCTCAGAACACGTTCTCACACTGTCCTCATAGCCACGTACCATTACTATCCTAGTAGCATAAAAACAACTTTCCTTGATTTACAAAAGGGCAGAAAGTAGAGTCCACCCTGGGCCAGATTCCAGAGGGAAAAGTCCCACCCCACCCACAGTTTCTCTCTTCCTTCCCTTGTGCCCATCCCCTGGGTGCTAGACCAGAGTGACCTCTGGGACTCAGTATCCAGAAGACAAATGTCCTTGTCATATGATGACACCTCTACATTGGCAGACACGGTAAGGGCCCTAGTTTGGGAATAAGACAAAGCAAGGCTCAGGTCCCTGCTTTGCCACCGTCCAGGCTACACCCAAGTCTCCGAGTCTTGGCTTCCACTTCTGTAAGATGGGAGGTGGATGATTGGAGGTTGAACAATGGCAATGAGATGGGTGGCATCGTAGGGCTGGCAGGTCCGTGGCTGCTGCTTTCACTCCACCAGAGCCAGCAGGTTGAGGAAGCAATGCCAGCTTTTGGGGTGATCAGGTGACCATCGGTCTCTCTGCCCCAGTGTAACTGTGCAGGGCTAGATCCCAGCAAAGTGCTGGGACCCCTGAACAATGTGGCCAGGCCTGTGGCCATCTCTGCTCCCTGGACTCCTGTGTCCTGTTGTCAAACCCAGGGAAAGGTCTTGAGGCAGGGCCCCCACTGCAGCCTCCTCTGGGCTCCAAGAAGCAGGGTTTTTGTCCACCCCAAATCCAGGACCCAGCTCTACCCTGCTCAGCTAAGACAAGTGCAGGGGACCTTCAGGAGGAACCAAGAGCCACCAAGGCAAAACAGTGTGCCAGGGAGAGCTTGGCTCCACAGTCAAAAGTCTTCAAGGCCTGGGAGCCCACAGGTACTCATGTGCAGATGCTGCATGGGTGGGTGCTGTGCCAGGTGAGAGGCCAGGCCAGGCAGAGTCCCACTGCCTGCTCCAACCACCTCACAGGGGACAAGAAAGATGGGGTTCGGCAGCAGTTCCAGGGAAGAAGAGCTGGCTGGGCTTATTCACTGTCAGGTCCACGTGAGTCAGCAGAGATGGCACTGGGCTGCTCAGAAGCCCCTGCCTTCCAGGTGGCGTCACCCAGGAGCAGGACATCTATCTGATGGGGGTGGGGGGTGCCAGTCCCCACCTTGTGCAGCCCCTTCTACATGCCCCATCTCACTAAGATTTGCAGAAGGGGCTCTATGTGTGGCCAAGGTGTGGCCCTCTGATCTCCCCCAGCCCAGTGTGTGAGCAGAAGAGAAAAGTGGGGGGGGGGATGGGCGAGGGGCAGAAATGGCAGTACCCCTGGATCTGCCTGTCCTCTATCCACTGGTTGGTCCCCAATGATCAGAAGCGGGCCCTGTGCTGCAGGTGTGGAGATGGAAGGACCTGGGCCCTGCCCCAGGAGTGCATGGGCCTGTGCAGACAGGAGTGGAGGCCTGTGGAGGCTGTCACTGTCACCAGGAGCGGTTATGGGTTAACATGGGGCAGTGGGGAAAGCAAACATTAGGTGGCCCTGGACAGGCCCTTGGAAGATACTTAACAGATGGAAGGGAAAGAGGAGCCCAGATGTGAAGGAGTAAGGAAAAAGCTGCACAAACCTGTGGCCACGGGGCCAGCAGAGAGCCAGGTGCCCCACGGGAAGGAAGGAAGGAATCCCCCAGCCGTGTCTGGAGGGGACGCATGTGCAGATGGCTGGGCCTGTCCTGTGCGCAGTGGGAAGGCAGAATGAGCTGTGCCTGTGTCAACATGAATGGCTGTCATATTCACTGAATGGCATGTAAGGGGCAGGATGGGAAGGAGAGCCAGGTCCCCAGAAGACGCTGGACCCAGGAGGGCCTTTTTTTGAGACAGAGTCTCACTCTGTTGCCCAGGCTAGAGTGCCGTGGCGTCAGCCTAGCTCACAGCAACCTCAAACTCCTGGGCTCAAGCGATCCTCCTGCCTCAGCCTCCCAAGTAGCTGGGACTACAGGCACGCGCCACTATGCCCGGCTAATTTTTTTCTATATATTTTTAGTTGGCCAATTAATTTGTTTCTATTTATAGTAGAGATGGGGTCTCACTCTTGCTCAGGCTGGTTTCGAACTCCTGACCTTGAGTGATCCACCCGCCTTGGCCTCCCAGAGTGCTAGGATTACAGGCGTGAGCCACCGCGCCCGCCTCCCATTAAAATGTGTTTAATTTGCATTTCACTTACGGCTGATGATGTGGCACATCTTTCCACATGCTTATTGGCCATTTGTTTATCTTCTTTGGTGAAGTATGTAGTCAAATTTTTGCCAATTTTTAAGAGAGTTTTCTCTCGTAAAGAGAAACTCTTGTAAGAGATTTTTTGTTTTTCATATATTCTGAATATAAGGCCTTTAACACATACACATGTTTTGCAAATATTTTCTCCCAGTATGTGGTTTGCCTTTTCATTGTACTATCTTAAAAAGCACACATTTTTAGATTTGATGGAGCCTAATTTATCAATCTTTTTCTTTCATGGTTTGTGAGTTTTTGGTTTTTTTGTGCAGAGACAGGGTCTCACAGTGTTGCCCAGGCTGGCCTTGAACCCCTGCCCCAGCCTCCTGAGTAGCTGGGACAACAGCCAGGCACCACCACACGTGGCTCATAGTTTGTGTTTTTTGTGTCCTATCTAGTCCTTGCCTAGTCCAATGTCACAGAGAAAATCTCCTATGATTTCGTCTAGAAGCTTTATGTTTGTATCTCTTACATTTATGTGTGATTCATTTTATTTTTTATGTGCTCTTTTTGTATGGTTTACTTTTCTTTCCATCACGTATAATCTGAGTCCAGCATTAGTTTCTCACATCTTCTACAAGTGTCTCTGACATTGGAGAGCATTTTTATGTCCCAGCTTGTATTAAATAGAAGAGAAATATTAAGGCAAGTAGACTTCAGGGAAACCTGTGAAACTCTTTTTGAAGTGTTGTTCTCAAGCATTTAATTTATTGCAAGGAGATGCTATGACTCTTGATGTAGCAGCAGCCATTCTTCTGTTTGCATGGAGTTATGGCTTTGTTGTTTTGCTCTGAATTGGAAACATCAATAAAGTTTTCTGCATCATTTACAATCAGGGCTTGTGGCACAGTTTGTGTTTGTAGCAATGTGTGCATCGTTCTTCTAGGATCTGTCTCTTCATCACAGAGAAAAGAGAGCTTTTTGGGTTTTTTCAACATGTGATTATTTTAAGAGTATGATGAGGTTTCAAGAATGAGGTGCTGGAAAAAATATGTAATTAAATTTTTAAATAAATTAAAAGAAAAAATAGAAAAAGATAGAAAATAAAACAGTATGATGAGGAGCCACTGGGCTTAAAGGAGGATGTAAACAGGACCCAAATACACAGGCACCGGATACTTCTTTCTCAGGGTCACAAAGCAATCCTCCACCGCTGAACTCTGAAGCTCAACACAGGCTAATCAATGTGACGCACATGTTGGCGACTGTCCCGTGCACTGGCACTTGTGACTGGCCAAAGCCAAACCATCAGGTTCCCAATAACATAGACCCAACCCTGAAGAAACTTCTGGCTTAAATTTTCTAACATTTTGAAAGTGGCTGAAATGGCCATAAGTGCCTGAATGGGTCGCTTGGCCATCATAGCCACCATCATAGTAGGCAAGATGGAGACAGCATTGCCTGCTGTGTAACGTGAAGAGGTTTGTGGGAATCTGTTTGAGGGGACCCAGGGCAACGTCCCAGCCACACTTCTCCGGACTTCTCCAGAACCATCTGTCTCTCGCACACTCGTATCAGGCACTTGCTTGTCCAAGTAACCGATCGGGTAAAGTGAG